GTGTGCGGATGCGTTTGAAGGGCCTTGGCAGCACGGCGGCGCTAGGCCGGCTAGAGCCACATGTTCCTGCAAATGCAGCTTCCTATTGACTTGTTAAACATTTGCTATTTATCAGATTTTGCTTTTAAACTGTCTGTAACAGTCTGGGAGAAGTTGTGTCAAAATCCCTTCCAGATGTGAAGGTGCTACCTGATACTTTGGTTATAACCTGGACCCTCGCTCCTGCTCCATTCAGATTAGCTCCACTACTGTGGAAATGAAAATGCAAATAAAGACATAAAGAGAGTAGAGACGTGTGTAAAACTTCCCCCAAACCTTCCCTTTTACAGGCAAAACGATCCTGCCTTTATAAGGAGATTGTGAGTTTTATCAGTGAACATTTGCTTTGCTGGAAAACCAGAGGAGAGCAGGGGAGAGCAGCCACCATCCCTGTCTGCCCACACGGGTGTTTTTAAAGCATAATTGACTTTTTTTCCCCCCATCCATTTAAATAATGTTTCTTTGGGTCTGGGGCTTCCCAGACACATCAGCTCGTTTTACGAGCATCAGGTGATGTGTGCAGTTGGAAACCTGAGCGTTTCCCTTGCATTTGGAGCACGTGGATCAGATAACCATGGCTCATTAAATGCTCGTTGGAAGGGGGAGCCTTCCCCAGGAGCACCCGCTCTGCAGACCCCCTGCCCTGTGCCTTTCCAGGAGAAACTTTGAGATATTCCCATCTTAAAACAACTCCGTGGTATCTGTCAGATCACAGAGGGCCTGAGCCAGCTCCCATCGTAGGGAGGGAGGGTTTTTCCACTGCCTTTAAGAGGCGCTGGAGCGGGGCCATGCTCTGTGTAATGCGGATCCGGCAGCGTGCGTGATACACTGCATGATGACAGAATTTCTGGGAGATTGGCCTAAACCGAAAACTTTGGACCTGGGACCGCTCTGCCAGAGGAGTGGGGAGGCTGGAGACACCAAAGCCGGGCCTGGAGTGGGGTTTTGCAGCTGGGAAAGCATCCCTGGAAAGGCCCAGCTGTGCCACATCTGTCCTGCCCTGGGGTTCGGTGGCTTGGGTTGAGTCCACAGCCGTGCCCGTGTCTGGTGCTGCCAGGGACACCTGGGAGGGTGTGTGGCCTCCCTGCAGGACCCCAGGCTGGCCATGGTGCTGCAGCTGAGCCCCAAAACATTCCAGAGCTGAGTGGCTCAGTCTGTTTCTAGTGCCCCAAAAATACCCCAGTGGTGCCCCTGGCACTGGCATGGGGCTGCCCTGCCTGCACCAGCTGGGCTGGGAAGTTTGGCTGGGGATCTTCCTGAGCAGAAAGATAAATGTGCTGGACTATTGTGTGGCATTTTAAGCAGAATCCTGATGCATTAATGTGTTTTTTCTCCCATAAATGCTGGGTTAGGCAGATTGGCACCCTCACAGGAGGTACCACTTTACTGATTCCTGTGGTTGCCTCTGCCCTAACTCCATCCTGCTGTTCCTGTGTGCCTTCTGACTGCTCAGCAGAGCAGGAGACCTTCTTTTTACACCCAAAAAGGATGTTCATTGGGGCTGGGATAGCTGCAGCAAAACTGAGAGATACCAAGTGGTCCCAAATAGGTTCTTCAGTTGCTCTAGCTCCCTTTTTTTCCAGGCTGATGGATGAGGCTGGGTTCTCACAGTGCATCTGCACCATGTCCTGGGGCTGTGGAGCCCCAGAGCTGTGTAGGACATGTCTGGTGACTTCCTTTTGCCCCTGCAGACCTGATTTATCCCTCTCAGAAGGCACAGACACATCAGAGCTGGAGGGTGATGGAGGACTCCAGGGCAAGAGTTCTCCTTTGGACTCCCACAGAGCTCCTGCCCCTATCACCACTCTTGAATTTCCAGGGGAAGCTTTGGTTCCTTTGGCAATTCCAGGCAGAAGGCTGCTCCCTATGTGGCACCTGCTGGTGCCTCAGGATGGAGCAGCACCCCTCTCTGAAGTGGGGTGGTGCCACTGTGGCTTGACAGCTTCTACATGGGCACATGGAAAACCTTGGCCCCACCATCTGCATTAAACTGGCTGGTTTCAACACTTGAACATGCATGGAGGAATGACAATGGGAGGGTGGGAAGGGAAGAGGAGCATGAGGAAAAAAACCTGAAGCCGTCTCTCAAAATCACATGGTGATAAGGCTTTTTCTGCAGTGCCCCATGCAGCTGGCAGCAGAAACCAGGCTTTTATGTTTGGGTCTGGCTGGCTTTTCACTTTCTGCAGCCAAAAGGATCTGGATAAAGTTTGCCTGGAAGATTAGCTGGCACTGAGCCTGACTAGACATCTCTGGAAGCCTCCCCTCCAGCAGGAGTAGGTTCTGGTTCCCTCCTCCCCCAGCCCTGCTGTGTGGGGGGATGTCCCCTGGAGGGGACAGTTCCACCAGCCCTCTCCCCTCTGGCACCCCAGATCCCTGCTCCCACTGCAGTGGGGATGCTGGGGAGCGTGCAGATGGGGTCCCAAGGGATCTTTGTCACCAGGATGACAGGGAGGTGACGCTCCACAGCCTGAGGGACAGGACTGGGAGCACGGAGCCTTGGCACCCACGACCCTTCCCTAGGGACACATCCTTCATGTGTCTGTTCTGACACCAGAACTGGGCTGGGAAATGGGGTGCCTGGGAGCCTCCCAAGCAGGGCTGGCCTCCCCCAGTGCCAGATGTGCCCAGCTGCTGCACACCGGGTTTGGCAGCAGCTGTGCTGTCCGGCCACAGCTGAGCTGCCAGCCCCAGGGCACAGCTGGCAGGGGAAGAGATGCTGTGCAATGCCATCCCCACGGGGCTCCTGGGCACGCCATGCTGACCCAGACACAAAGCAAATTTTGGGGTTTGTGCCCATGGAGGCCTGGTAGAGGCGGGGGAGACTGCGCTGGTAGTAGATGCCGATGCCTCTGGAGTGGAAAGCCCAGTCCCTCCCCTCTCATTCCTTTTTTTCCTTTTTTCTGCCTTTTTTTTTTCTTCCCCTCCTCTGGCTGATCTTAAAAAAGCCCAGGCAGTTTGGGCTTTGTGAAACCCAAATGCCTTTTGCAGCATCAAGCCCGGATCCCATAAGTAATATCCCAGCACTGAAGAGTAAGACAGTATATGAAGTAGACGGGGAGCTATAAAGACACTTTAAAAGGGGCAATAAAAGTTTTGGGTTTCATATCGTCTTACCAAAGAAGAGAATAACAGAGAAGCAGGAAATTTCAGTAGCAGACATGACAAAGGTCACAGCACTCAGACTGCACCTTAGACGAAAACACCTACTCTTATGAAAACAGCCAGAATTTTTGGCAGGGGCTCAAGAGCTCTTACAGGCAAAGCTCTCGGCAGCGCTAAAAGGTTACAAGAGACTGTTTTGTCTACGTTTATAATATTTCCCTGCATTGGTGCTGCAGGGGATATCCTGCCCAGGATAGTGGATCCAGCCCTGCACCTTCCTCCCGTGTTGGGGTGTGGGGTGCTGCCATCAGCTCGGGGCTGGTGCCAGGGCAGGGACCCTGTGGGTGTGCCCAGGTGTGTGTCAGTCCCACGTGGGTGCTGGCCCTGCACTGGGGTGCAAAGGGATGGATGGTTGGCACAGCTGGAGCTGGAGCATCGCCCTGTGGCATCAGCAGGGAGAGGAGGGGACAAAGCAAACCTTTTGCTGTGTGCAAGAAAATTTGGGGTGTTTTTTTTTTTTGTTTTATTTTGTTTTGGTTTTTTTAGCTCAATATGTGGCAGGTGGGAGCAGGAGGTTTTATCTACTCAGCTGCTCCTCAGGTAACATTCCCTTTCCCTCCATGTTTGCATGGGGTTTGCCAACCTTTGGTCCGTCATGCTCGGCCCCAGTTGGGTTTTGTGGTCACCCAGTGCCGTCCTCCCAGCACTGAGACCTCACAAGGCTCTCACCATGCCCACAGTGCCCTTGTCCCCAGGGCTTGCTGCAGGCCTGTGCCTGTCACTGCAGCCCAGGAGGGACCAAACAGTCCCAAAATGAGCTGCTGGGGTGAAGGAGGTTCTGATCAGTGGCTGCAGCAAACAAGGGAGGCTGCTGGCACTGCTGGTCAGGATCCTGGGGAGGGTCAGCGTTGAGTGTTTGCATTTGGGGTGACAACACCCAGGAAGAGCCAGCGTGGCCGTGGGATGCCCATGGGGGTGACCCCTCAAAAAGCTGCTGTGCACCCTCAGAGGCATCTCTTGCAGGCAATGCTGAGTGACTTCTTTCACTCCAAATCAGAGCACTTGGGCCTGACTTTTGGGGCCACCCTGAGCAGCCCTCACATGACAAAGAGCTCCAGTAGCGTGCAAGCAACGAGGAAAGCTTTGCACAGAAACCCTGAGAGCATCTTGTAAACATCCTGGGGGCTGGATGCGGGGAAGGAATGGAGCTGTGTGGGTTTAGGTGCTGGGGAACCCTTTGGAAGCTGTCTGCTAGCTCTGCCTCTGCATGCAGCTGCATCAGCTGTGCCACCGCTTGCCAGTGACTCTGGGATGCTTGGGGGTTCATAATTCATTTCTATTTTTGTTGGAAGCTCATTCAGTTTTGGTTGTTGCCCCGTCGCAGGAAGTTGCTCTGATGAATGACTGGGGTGGATTTCTCTTCCAGAGGAACCCAGGCTTAATGTGGGCTTTCTGTGGACATCTCTGTATATCAATACTGCTCTAATTGTCCATGACATATAGTCTTGGCCTTTTTCCCAGACAGTCTAAATAAATCATACACTTCTGCTATAGTAAATAGTCTGTTAGAGGAGATGTTATAGGCTTACAACCCTCCCCCCTCCCTCCAGGAGCTTCTTTTCTCTGCCTCTCACTTTCCATGTCCTTTCCATACCAATGAGGCACCTGCTGCCTGTGCCTGCAGGTTTGCATGGACAAAGTGCCCAGTGTTGCAGGTCCCTCCAAGTTAGAGGGGCTGTGGTGGCCGTGCCCAGAGCTCTGCTTTGGAATTGGCATCTGCCCTGGACCGAGCTGAGTGGAGCTGGAAAGTTTCCCACCCTGCCGAAGAAATGCTGGCACTGCACACTGGCAAGGTCTTTGTTAGTATGTATTATTTACATCAAGAGAATGCATAAATAAAATAGTTAATATCTCACAAAAAATACATGTTCTGTTAACTGGGTGTTGCAAACGAAGCTTTGTGTGCACGGGCTGAGCAAACCAGCACGGAGGGGACAGCTTGGGTCCTGCCAGGTCAGAGCACGGGACAGCCCAGGAGAAGGTGACATGGCCTGGGAGGGCAGGGGTCTCCTGGGGCAGGGGACAGGCCACAGCCCAGCTGAGTGCTCCTCCAGGGAGAATATGGATATGTGTCAAACTGGAAGTGCAAGCTTTGCTAGGGCTGATGGTGGAGAGGTGAATCCCAGCGTGGTTTGGAAGGGACCTTAAAGCCCTTCTTGTTTCAATCCCCCTGCCATGGTCCACCAGACCAGGTTACTCAGGAGACTTCCCAGGGCAGAAAATCCCAGAGTGGGCACGGAGCTGGTGGGAAAAGATGCCAGAGGAAAACCCAGCAGGCAGGCATTTTCCTTTTGGCTGCAGCCCTCCATCACGCAGGGGCAGGAACACGCGTGCCCGTCGTGCCCGGGGGCTCAGACGCAGCAGCAGAGCGTGGAGCAGTCCAGCCTGGCGGGGGTCCCGGCATTCCCAGCCTTCTTGTTCTCCTTGGGCAGCAGCAGCACGAGGGCCATGGCCAAGGCACAGTGGTAGAAGCTGTGCACGTAGGTGTAATCCCACTCCTGCGGGCAGGGAGAGCGGGTGAGAAGCGGGAGCAGCAGGGCCGGGGGACTCGCGTGAGGTGCGCGACATTAAATTTCTACAAGCAGCCAAAAGGAAGGGGATAAAACAGATTCCTGAACCTTCTGCCTCCCTTTGCTGTCAGAGAAGAAAGGATTTCCAGTGGAAAAAAAAATCAACAAAACCCCAAAGCAAAGGGGATTTAACACGTTCTAATTTGCACATTTCCCAATTCTTGAATGAAGTGTTTCATTACCCCGCAAAGGACGCGGCGGCGAGGCCGGGGCGCGCGGGGAGGCGGCTTCTGCTAAGTGACATTTTTATGTTCTGCTAGAATCTGCAATTACCAAATGCTTTGAAAAATAATCCTTGGGGATGCCTGTGAGGTTGTATCTCGCAGCTCCCAAAGCACAGAGCAGCCGTAACGGCGGGGCTGAGCGCAGGCACGGCCGGCAGCTGTGTCGGGGGGTTATCGCCTGCCCGGCGGGACCCTCCGGAGCAGGACAGGGGGACTGGCCAGCAGCAGGAGCAGGAGGATATAAACACAGGATCAAGCACCCCTGGGAGTCACTGAGAGTCTTTTCTTTGGCGTGAGCCAGCTCTGGATCCGGCCATGCCTGGGTTGGATCCAGTCCCTGCCGCGTCGCTGTGAGGTGTCCTTAAGTCACCCGTGCCCAGTTTCCAAAAAACCCTGCTCCCACTTGACAAAGCCATTCTGAGGACCACGTGTGCCTGAGGAAAGCACATCCCCTGTCCTTGTCACTCACTGAAGAGGGAAAAAGAGACAGAGCATCGCTCGGTGTGCCACTTGCTGTCACACCTGCCCCGAATGGATCAGGGGATGGGGACCAGCATGGAGGGACCATTGTCCCTGCTGCCAGGCCCCAGCGTGCCACCTCTGGAGCCCCACGCCTAAGCTGGGTTTTGTGCAAGGCTGGATGCAGCCCAGCTGTGTGAGTGGGGTGTCCCTCTCTCGGTGATGTCCCTCACACCTTGTAGAGTCGGGGAGGGTGAGTGTGCACACAGGTACCTCAAAGAAGAACCTCAGCATCAGTGCCAGCGCCCCGAAACAGAAGCCAGGACCAATCTGTTGGGTGTAGACACTCTTGTCAGGATAGAGCCCTTTCTTCTCCTTCATCTTCTGCAGCTGGGAGGAAGGAGAGAGCACGCCAAGTGGATTCACCTGGATTTAGCTGGCTGCTCCACCCTCATTCCTTGTAATAACACTGTTTTTTTAATATTCAGCCCTAAAGCCAGCTCAGGGGGTGTGTGCCCTCACAAACCCAGTCTGTGGGAGAGCAGATCCCAGCACAGCATCTGCAGACTGGAGGATGCAGGGTGCTCCTGTGCCTTGGTCTCCTCCTTGCCCATCCCCTCCCCATGATGGCCATGTGCTTTTAGCTGCTGGCTTAGTGGCAGTTTGTAACTGGGACTTGCACTGCTGTATTTCCATGATGTTTGGCATCATCTTTCTGCAATTTTTATCCCATCACTCCTTGCCAACTCCTGCAATGGATTCCCCACCTCACTCCCAGCTGGGTCCACAGCACAGTGGGGCACAGACTGCAGCATGGTGCCCGACTGTCCCAGCTGGATTCAGGCAGACTGCAGACAGATTCCTCCCCACTCTATCACCGTCGTTTTAGCCACATCTTCCCCGGATCTGGGGCAGTTTACCAGATCCCTCTGCCTCTGAGTAGCTGTAAAAACTCCATAAATACACTCCTCCTGATTAGAAATGCAGGGACAGGAGATGTGGTAGATTGCTCAGACCGATCGAATCTGGCATTTATCAAAAGCTGCTGTCTGCCTTCTGCTCAGGTTAAAGGAGAAATCACAGTGAGATTGAGAGCTGCATCTTGAGGAGGAAACCAGTGCAGGGTTCATCCCTTTTCCCACCAGGGGCATCCCACAAAGCCCATCCCAGTGCCTGCCCCACGTACCCATCTGACCGTGATCACCAGCACGGCCGTCCCGATGGGGCCCGAGTAGACGCCGTAGCCCCAGCGGTCGTGGTAGATCCTCACGGCGATGGTGAGGACGCCAAACATGATGAAGGTCGACCTCTTGGGTTCGTCAAACTCTGCCAGGGCTGAGGGACAGAGAACAGGGAGCACCAGCTTGCAGCCCCCCTTTTTCAGCTGCTCCCCTAAAGCCTTCCTGGGGTCTTTCCCTCCTGCCCTGAGGTTGAATCTGTGTATGGTTTGCACTTCTCCTGTCACACTGCTGGGGAAACTGAGGCACATGGGGCAAAGCAAACCATCCTGAGGCTCCTGGAGATGATTGTTGGGGCTTTATTTCAGTGTTGCATGGGGGAGCTTAAAGGAGATTCCATACCCAGAAGAGCTATGGGTGCCCTATCCCTGGAAGTGTTCCAGGCCAGGTTGGATGGGGCTTGGAGCAACCTAGGACAGTGGAAGGTGTCCCTGTCCATGGCAGGGGGTGGAACAAGATGGTCTTCAAAATCCCTTCCCACTTTAAACCATTCTATGATTTCCCATTTACTAGACCTAGAATTCAGAGGTGATTGTAAAAACCCTCATGCCCTGTGAGGCCACAATCAGCTCTTGGGTTCATCCTGCATCTCCAGCCTTCCCAAACTCACTCTGGCACAGGCTCCACCACCCCAGTGCAGTGGGACCCCCTCTCTGGTGCCATGGGGTCCCGGCTGCCCGGCACCTGCCCGGGGTTTGCAAGCTGGAAGTCGCCAGCGTGAGTAAATTATTAGAGGCTTTTGTTTAGCACAGAATGGGGTAATAACTGATAAAAGTTATGGATCCCAGTGGGCTCCATGCTTTTCCAGCTTGCACAGCTGTGTTATGGCTGTCCTGGATTTGCATTCCGGGAAGTTTGCCCAAGGGTCTGCGTCCGCACATGTGCACTCGGGCTTTACAAGGCACAGTGAGAGGCTTCCCTGGGCTTCAGTCACCACACCTTCCATGTCCTTGGATCGTGCTTTTATAGGGAGTTTGGCTAAGGGATAATGTCCGCATGTTAATCTCTGTTGTTTCCCAGCGGGTCAATATTTTAAACCTCCTAGTCCAGGATTTGTATTTTTTCACGAGGTTTCGGAGCGCAGTAATGAAGCAATCAAGTTGAATTTTGCTGCAAGGAGCCAAAGTGTCTGGATCAGCTCTGACCTACCCTGACACTGCTGTTATCCACTGAAAATGCCCTTTGGAAATGATTTGGAAATGATTTGCATCGTTGCCTTTCCTAGCTGAGCAGAGAGAGCACTGAGGTGCCCTGAGTAGTGGGTGACCCCCACCCCGGGACTCACATTTTGGGGGGACAGAGCCATTTCTAAGGGTAATATTTTTCCCCACACATTTTTCCCTGCATGGTAAATTTATCCTATTGCATGCCCTGGAAGGAGAGTGCTCCTGCATCCCCACAGGATGAATTTGCCCAGCTGAGGGGTGTTACCCCTGCTTGTGCTGGGCTCTGAGGCTGCAGGAGCCCCATCCCTGCTGGAGGTCCTGCACCACCCCTGGCAGGGGCACAGAGGAAAGTCCTGTGGCTGTTTTGGGGCTGTAAATTGGAGTGCTGACTTCTTATTATGGGGAGAAATGGCAACTCTATCTGGAGTAGGCACTGGTTAGAAATGATCCAAATTTTGGAGCAAAACCTTTGTTGGAACATCTCTCTCCCCTGACCCTGCTCTCTTCTCCTGCCATCAATACTCACATCCTTCCAAAATTATGGTGACAAAATGGGAAAATGATAGGTTGGAACTTTTTGTCTTCCTCATATTTTTTTCCATTTCTATTATATTTTGTTTTGGTGGCAAATAAGGAACAAAATGAGGAAAAAGAGAGTGAAGAAAATGTGGGGAAAGGAAAACTGAATAACAGGGCAAGGGGTGGGATTTATAGTAAAAGGGAAGTGAAATAAATTTCTGCTTTTTATAAGCAGATCTAATATTCCCATCAGCCCAGACCAGGCTTTTGATAAACCAGGAAGTTATATTTGTTTTGATTCTCATGCTACCAAGGGAAGTGGGAGAGTCTGCATTTCTTAATGCCTCTAAGTGAGGCAAGATAAGCTCATGGGCCTGGTATGGGGAAAATGAGGAGAAATGGGAAATTCCCTGGTTTATGGGGTTTCAGATTCAGTCATCTCATAGTCTTGTCCTTCCCTGAACTGCAGCACAAGGCTGCCAGTGTGTTGCTGTCATTTGAAGCAGGACATGTGTGAGAGCTGGTGCAGACAGAGGAACACCCGACCAGCACCACCAGCAGGTGCCACAGCTCTTTATCTCCAGGAGCAAAACGTCCCCAGACACCACCCAGGACAGTTCCACGTCTTGACCTCACCAATTACAAAGGCTTTCCAAGGTGTTAATGACACAAAACTGGATTAATCCACAGCACAGACTGACTTCCACGAAGGACAATTTCAGTGGCAGCTCAGGTGGAGCTCGGAGTGAGCAGCATTTCTGAGGGCTGTCCCCACTGACTGTCCCATCAGCTCTCCTGACAAATCCAACCCTTCCTGCCCGTGGTGCAGCTTTCAGGAGCTACAACAGACCAGTTCTTACCCATCAGGGACACCCAGATGGACAGGGCTGTTCCGTAGATGCTGAAGTACTCCAGGATGTCGTAGCGCATAAAGCACAGCACTGATAACCCGGGGCCGTCACAAAGGTGGTAAAACTATTCAAAAAGAAAATAAGTTATCAGAAAACCGGTTTCTTACCCACATATCAGTAAGGTAAAGGTGCTTATCAACTGGTTTGAAATTGTGTAGCTGCTGAGAGGATGGCCAGCCAGGCCAGAACAGTGTCAGCTACAGCAGGATCACTGATACGCAGTAATGAATATATTTTTGTGATAATGTCATCGTTCCCAGTTGCAAATTGCCCAAGAATCAGCATTCTTCTCTCTTAGTACAAACTAAGACAGGCTTTAATTTGCCTCTTGGACAGAACTTGCAATCTGATGACCAAGCTGCTTTGAGCTGGGTGCTGGGGGATGGCCTCTCCAGCAGAAGGAGGACTCTGGCGTTGTGGTTTTAATTGCGAAAGATTCTTGTAAAACAATTCAGAATGAGTGTCCTGATGAAATGTGTATGGATGCCAGGTCACTGTCCAGGCTAAACAGGGTTTATATGGCCAGACTCTGAATACTGGGGAATTCACTCATTAGTGCATTCCCTTAAAAACCACCAGTTCCTGCCCATTAACTCATTGATTAGTTTATTTGCAAAAACCCCATTGTCATGCAGCACAAACGAAGACCACTCCAAGAGATGTTTTCAGTGCAATCAGAGGACTGCTCCCAGTGCTTGCCTGGCTCTCTGCTTTTCCTGCCAGCCCTCAGCCCTGCAGGTTTGCAGTGGCAGCAGCAGTGAGCTCTGCTGTTCCTGAAGAAGTCCCTGCTCCGCTTGGCCGGGCGCCCTTGGAAGGCTGCTGGCTGTCACGGCCCGGTGGGGATGCTGATATAATTTATAATGGGAATTGCTGTGAGCCCTCTGGCTGGCTGCAGCTTCTAGAAAAAAAATTGCACCACGGCTGTAATTCTTCTCCCTGCCTGAGATTGGGCTCGGGGGGAAGAAAGGGTGGAAGGCAGAGCGTGTTCCTGGCACTCGTCTGCCATGGCCATGTGCTTTCACTGCTCTGTTCAGCTCTCCTGCTGGACAGGAGTGGGATGCTACAAAAAATGCAACAGCAGCAGCTGCTGCCCTTCCAACCCCCTCCCCAGCACACTGGCAGCTGCCTCTCCTCCTTTCCCTTCTTTCCCTTCCCCACTCAGGGATATTTTGCTTCTCCAGTCTCTTCGGAGAGGACCTGTTCCTCCTCCCTTCGAAACACATGCCAATTTTCCTACTGACTCCTCGGGGAGGTGGAGCAGACACAGACCCAGTGCAAAATGAAATCGTAGATGTCTGGTTTCCCTGGGGAGCTGGGGTGGGGGGCTAAGGGATGTTTTCATATTAACTGGTCCTGTAGCTTTTATAGAACTGGCAGAATTTCTCCCCCTGCGTGGTGCTTTAATCAGCTCAAATGGTCAGTGATGTTCTGTGGATCCTTGATAAAAGACCAGCCTGATTCTGAGACCTGTGAAAGGGCTTTTCACACTGGGAAGATCCTTTATCTACTCCCTGCCTCAGTTTCTCTGTACAAGGAATGTGTCAACCCTCAGGAGATGCCTTGAGATGGATGGGGATTAATGGGAAATGCAACATCAGCTGGGTTGCTGAGCTGTTTCCTTCATATTCTTTAGCAGATCATTGAAATGTAGTCAAACAGGAGATTTTTTTCCAGTGGGAATGCTGCTTTGGGTGCTCAGCTGGTGTCTGTACGGAGTCACTTAGCAGGGATACAGAGCCCAGGGCAGCACATGGCTGAGAGCAGGAGTAGGAATATTTTATATATATATACAAACATTTCCTCACTAGTTATTTCCACACAAAGGAAGGCCAGGGAATCACAGCCTGATAAAACACACATTTCAACCCACAAAGAGTTATTAATTATTATATTTCAGCATGTTTTAGTCTCTCCTTTCCCAGTGCAGAAACTCCCCTGACTCCAGCGTTGCTCCCATCCCCAGCTGGCAATTGCAAAATCAATAATTTGACTACTATGTGCTTTTGGCTAGAATGACAGAGGCAGAGCAAGAGATTCTGGAGGCAATTTAAAGCCTAAATTCAGCATGGCCACTTAGCAGCTGTAAAACAAAGAGAAAATCAGCTCCAAAGCATTGCAAATCAGTCAAGGCTCTTTGCACCCAGACCTTCTCCCTAATCTCAGTCATAAACCACCACTAAATCTCTGTAAGGCCACAGCGTAGGACATCCTGAACTGGAGAATCAGCTGCTCAGCACCACACATGGTGGGAAATAACAGAAAAAGGATATTTTAGGGGTTGTGCTGGCTGCTCTTGGGTGAATCAGTTTCTCAGTGGTACAGGGGGCATTTGGGGGGATAAAACATGCAGGGAGAGGGGAAATTGAGAACTTCTTACCGCCACGAAGAACATGGTGAAGAAGTAAACCATGGCTTCCATGTGGAAACGCCGCTTGGCCGCGATGCTGATGGTGGGGAGGAAGACCAAGGAGCTGAGGGTGGGCAGAAGGAGCTTGGCCACCAGCGAGCCCATGGGTGCCTTGTGGGCCAGCAGCTCCTGGGAGCTGGGTGTCTGTGAGCTGGGCAGGAATGGTGGAGAAAGGAGAGGGGAGTGTGCTTTAAAGTTTAAATGCCCTGTGTGGCAGGGAACAGCTGCCACGGCCACAGCCGCCACCCTCGCTGCCGTCTCATCCCGAATTCCTGACACAGCCGGTGGCTCCGGGCAGCAGATGCTCCGTGCCCCCAAAACCATCCTGGGTGTTTCTAAAGGAGTGAAAGGGAATGTTGTCCTCACACGCCTTGTGCTGCGTGCTGGGTTTGGGTACATGGTGGGTGAGGAGTTTGGGTTGCTCGCTCCTCATAGGGACATCCCAACCATACACCCTGCTGTCCCTGTGCCAAGCCTGGTCAGTGCTGCTGGAGCAGGGAAAATCCATCTTCTTTCCTCACAAAGTGGAGGGGCAGGCACTGATCTGTCCTCTCTGGTGGCCAGGAATAGCACCTGGGATTGTCCTGTGCAGGGCAGGAGCTGAACTCGGTGATCCCTCTGGGTCCCTTGCATCATTTTGTTATTCTCTCTCTGCACTTCCACAAAGGAAGAACTGGTAAGCAGCAGGCACTAGGGATTTTTAAAACAGTGGGATGTATCCTACGACCTTTGTGCACTTGAGAAACACACACCAAGCTCCAAACCTGCTTTTTATTTCCCCAGGGGGGCATAGCTGGGGTGGGTGCAGACATGGGGGAGCTGGAGTGCCACAGCACCCAACTCCTGCTGCCGGTGCCTGCGTGCCCTCCGTGGGGTTCAGAGCAGCTCCATTTCCTCAGCCTTTGCAGCCTGGCCACCTCCAGGAGTTCTGTCTGAAATTCAGGAGCCGAGAGTCTCCGGGCTGGAGGAATTCGAACGGATTGTCGCGCGGCGCTGAAAATCTGGAGGAAAGGAAACCAAAAAGCCAAGCGGCGTTTGGGCTGCTAATCCACTCAGTGGTTCTCTCTTTTATTATGACTTTTTATTATATCGCTCCTGCTCCCCCCCTGCGTTAATATCTTTTCCTTGGAGCCTCGCAGGGATTCTCGGCATCCTTTCGGCACAGCTGTTCCCGGGACACGGGGAGCAGGAATGCTGCTCTTGAGCAAGCGCCTTTGTGGCTGCGGTTTTGGGGAGGAGGCCGGGAGCTCTGATAGGAGCCACCAGCTCTAGGGCTGATAGGACAGGCTGGCCTGTCCCCCGGGAGGGGGTCTGGAGGAAAGACAGGCACGCATGGATTAAAAAAAAAAAAAATTCTCTTTAAACCATTCCAGGACGTTGGAAAGAGCTCTGGAGGGGGAGTGAGGGGTCTGTGTGTGTGTGTGTGTGTGTGCAGGGAATGGCACAGAGCATTAAAGCCTTGACTCTGTGCCGAGAGCTTTCCCCCGGGCACAGATGAGCTTACCCCCCCTCAGATGAGCTGGGTAGGGCTCCCGTTTTTAGCTGATACTGCAGGAACCATCCACATTCCCTGGCTGGCTGCAGGCATCATCCCTCCGCGGGATGCTGCCCACACCACATCTCCAGCCGCCCTCCTGCCTGGGCAGGCTATAAACTTACCACAAAGCTCTGCAAAGCTGAATCTTGACCAATAAATATTGAAAAACCCTGGTGTCCCTATTTACTGTGAAAATGAATCCCTCCAAGCCAGCACATAAATACCCTGATGCTCCCTAGGTGTCCAGCCCTGAGCTGAAAGCAGAGACCCAGCACAGCCCAAAATACTCTGTTCCTTTTTTGGGCCATATCCTCAGATGAATCCATGATTCTGTGTTCATGATCTGCTTGGACCGAGGACGGTGCCCTGGGGCACAGCAGGGCTTGTTCTCAGAGGGGTTTTGAGCAGATTTGGGGTGAAGAGGTTGCACAAACCGCTCTGGATTCCTGGCTATGAGAACATCATCTGCCCTGCTTTTGTGGCCGTGAGACAGATGTGAGAGAGGCGAAAGCACAGCTCCAAACCTGCTGCTGAGGGCAAACCTCCATGTCTGGGCACAAAGCAGCCCCCACACCGCTTGTGGGGACACGGCAGTCGTGCAACAAGGACCTGCAAAGGTGCTGGTTGTGCACAAGGCAAATGGCATCAGGTGAAAATTGCCATCAGGCAGTTGTTAAACACATCCCCCTCACCCCCAGCCTTTGCCCAAAATCCAGCTGGCTTCTGCTGGAAAGGAAACCCCGTTGGCTGCTGGATGCAGCAAGTGCCAGCCATGGCAGGGAAGTGTTTGAGCTCTCAGGAGCAAGAAAACATTCCACAGGTTGTTGGGGTTTTATTCTATTTTTTTTTTTGTTTCTCTCCCAGCTGCACACCCTGGGCTGGTGGTTGGGTTGCAGCCAGCTCTGTAGGCATGGAGGGGGAAAAAAAACCTCCCATCAGGTTGCACACGTGTTTCAGCTATTATTGAAAAAGAGCCCCCAAAATAAATGGGGAGGAGAGGGGCAGGCAGGTGGTGAGCTCCTGGCAGGAGCTGCTGCTGCTTTAAAAGGTCTTTGTTCACTGCGAACACCGCGGTGCAGACGTGGGTTGGGCAAACCTTCCCGGGAAGGAACCCAAAAAACAAAGGGCCAGCACTTTGTTCCTTCTTTCCTAAACAGGTAGGAAATGGAGAAAGAGCAAATTTTAGCTCCTGAGTTTAAGTGCTGCTGGAAAGGGAATTTTAAAATCTGCATTCCACAGGGCTAATTTTGTGTGGATCGGCGTGCATGCAGGAACGGTGATATATATGGCTGAAAAGTGGCTCCCAGATGCCAAACCCAGGTTCTGGTATGCTGTCCTGGATCCTTCCAGGGTAACATTAACCATGGCTTTCTGCAAGCACTTCTACCCTTTCAGCTCAGACGGTGCAGTGGAGGAAGGAGACACAGAGAGTTTTGTTTTATTTTTAATCTGAGGGTGATGGTTTGAAAGCAGTGGATGTTGGAACAGGGGCTGAGGGGGCTGTGCCAGCTGAGAGCATTGAGGAGAGGATTTTCTCCTTGGAGTAAGTATGGGATGATCTTTCATCTGCCTGTGGTATAGACTGGGTCAGAATTGAAATCTGCTCTGTTGAGTGTCACCAGTCACTGCCAGGCTGGAAATACTGGGGATAATAACCCAAAACCAAAGAGTGAAGCTGCAGCTCTACCTGGGGCTGCAGTTTGAAGGACTGTGATGCTACAAAGTGTTTTTTTTTACCACTCCCATTACTTCAGAGTTTAATTTTTCAACCCCACAACCCTTCAGCTGGTGCACTCTGAGGGTGAGAAGCTGGATGGTGGCCTGGTCTCAGCAGGTTGATGTGGCAGAGCCCTGAGGAGCCCTGAGCAATGTGACCAGCATGGCACCGTCCAGTTTGTGAAGATTTTCTGCCTTTTTTTGCTCAAGAATCCTCCTGGTATGGAAGCACCTGGTGCAGGAGCGGAGCAGCCCACGGGCATGAGCCCTTTCCTGCCAAGCTGGAGAAGGGATGGCAGCAGCACCTGGATAAAACACCTCTTCCCACCCACTGTGGCCTCTGATCAGGGCTGGAGGTGAGATCCTGATGTGGGGAACACTTTCTGGCCAGCTGGAGCCCAGACACAGCCCTGGCACCAGGGAAAGGAGCCCCATAAAGGCAGAGCCACCAGCTGTGCCAGAGCCCTGCTCGGCCACCCCAGCTCTGATCACCCAGCCCAGCCCTGCCAAAGCACCTGCGTCCTCCTCGTTTTATTAGTGGAATAAATTGCCACTTAAAATACCCATTCTCCCTGAGGTCTGGCCCCATTTGAGGCAGCTTTAACTGAATGCTTACCCTGAAAAAAAAAAAATCCCCCTTCCTGTCTCCCTGTTGAATAAACCTATTATGCATTTTGCTCACAGGTATTCCTGCTGTTTTCCTTAGGGTTTTTTCACTCTTCCTTTTCCTCTCAGCCCTGTCATGGCCCATGACAAACGTGTCACCATTAATGACAAGGACATCTGATTTCTTGTCACCAGTTTTCCATTGCTCCTACCTTTGGGATGTCCTGGGGTGGCCCCCCACTGCCAAATTCATGGAGGCAGTGCAGGGGTTTATTGCTCATTTCATGGTGTTTAATAGGTTTTTTTTACAGTCATAACTCCTGGAGCCCAGTAACGACGCTGAGGGTCTCAGCTCTCACCCCGTTGGTCAAAAAAATGTCATTTTCTGCAGAGAAACGCTTGAAGCTGTGATGCTTCGAGGCTCAAAATCCAAAAAGGGAATGAAACCAGTCTTGGGGTTTTTGGGGAGTCTGACTCACGGATTTTGAATGCCTGTGGTTGGCAGGGCTGCATAGCTGATGGCCCTCAGCACAATACAGCTCAACTTCCATGTCAGACTCATTCCATTCAAAGAAAAGCCTTTGTACTTTTTTGCCTTCAATCTTTGAATAGCTAAAATTTCTAACCGAGCTTGACTCGCCTGGAAGCTCCTCCAGGTTCTTGCAGGAACGTGCAACCCTTGGGGACAGGTAAGATTGAAGTCTGCACAGAAGAAAGAAACTCTTCAAACCACTGAAACTCTACAGCCACGACCGTACCTGGGGTCACTGCGGTCGCTTGTGGCTTTCAAATTGCCCAGAGAGATTTTTCACAGGAATCTGATGGTGAGAGCAGCTTGGTGGCTTTGGCTGGTTCAGTTTGACTCAACATTTTGCAAACCCTCACGCCAACATGACATAAATCAGCCCCATCCCCAGAGCGTGGGATGAGCTGCCTTGCCCAACACTGCCCCGCAGGTCACTCTGCAAGGGACTAAAGAACACTTCTGCCTCTGAAGAGCACTTCTTTTGGTCTCCTCTTGCTTGTTTTACTTACCCACTGGTGGGCCACAGCTGCAGCTCTTGGCTGCCAGGGGTTTTTTGGGGGGTTTTGATCCCCTTGGTGAAGTTCTGGTCATGCAGGGACCTCACACGCTCAGGGGACAGCTTTAATCTGCCCTGCCACACCAGTCTGGCCTGGAAGTAACTGCAGAAGTGTCAAACAAAAGCATCACTTCTGCAGTCAGGATGAAAAAGGAAGAAAACCAATCAGTTGTCTCATCCCTGAGGGAAGATGGAGCTGGCGGGGGGCCCTGGGCCAACAGACTCCTGACCATGCTCACACTCCTGGACCTGGGCAGGGATTTTGGGAGGCCTGGCTACAGCAGAGCCATCCCATCTGCTGTGCCAGTGCAAGGACTGAGCCAGGAAAGGGCTGATCTGGCTGGGCAAGTGGTGCTGGAACTCCATATCCATGTGTGGGGCTCAGCATGGGCAGGTTCTGTGGTACCAGGGATGTGCTTGGGGCTCAGGGTGCTGGGTGCCAGCCCCAGCAGGACCCAGGCTGGTGCTTGGCTCAGGATGCAGAAGTGCCCTGCCATGGGAAGCACAGGGAGGAGGTCAGTGTGTGCTGCCTGGATCAGAGCTGGCTGCCACCCTGTGCCCCAGCAAAGCATCCCCCAGCCCTCCCTCGGTCCTGATCCTGCAGAACCCCGAGTTTCTCTGCTCAGCTGAGCATCCCTGGCTCCTGCCAGCAGCACCAGTGCCCAGCCCAGCGCTCTGCTGAACTCCTTTCAGCCAAGGAAGCTCCTTTCCTCCACAGGCACTTCTCCAGCCAAAGCAGCAGCCAGCCGCCGGCAGCACTCCCCCGACTGGAGAAGGTTATTTTGGAGTGTCTGTCGCTGCTTTGGTTTTGCTTTTTTTTTTTTTTTTTTGCACTCTGAATTCTGCACGGCATCGGTTTGGGGTGGAAAAGCCTGGCAGCTCCTGGGCTGTGTCCCTCGGGGTGGCTGTGGGGCTGTCCCCCGTGTCCTGGGGCGGTGGTGGGAGGTGGATGCCCAGCACAGGGATTGCTGTTCTGCCTCGCCCAGAGCAGAGCTGGATAAGGGACTCTCATCCAAATCCTAAATTTCCCTGGGAAAGTCCAACACGAGCCCTCAGTGACCGTCCCGGGTGGGAAAGGCTCTCGCTGTCCATGCAGGTGCATCTTGTCTCAATTTACTGCGAGCCCAAAAGCAGTAAATAACATCTGCAAATCATTTCTAACGCTCCTGCCAAAAGCTGGGAGATAAAACCCGCTGTTGTCTGAGCCTGGCCAGCCGTGATTAATGCTGTACCTGCAGCAGCAGCAGCACCCACAGCCTCGGGGCTTTGGGGACACTGCTGTCCCTGGGGGTTTTCGGGTGGCAGGAGTTGGAGCTGCGGGGTTTGGCTGATGTGAAACTCGTGTTTTGGATCTGCTCTCTGCTGCAGTTTCTTCTCGGGGCTGGTCGTGCTCCCATGCAGGCGATGGCATCGCTCCTGCTGATTTCACGGGGCCGGGCCAGGGATAACACTGATTTATGGGAGCAATCAGTTGCCACTAGGAGCTGGTTAGGAATTTTCCGATGAAATGGGGATTGCGTCAGAAACCGCTGAGTCATCTCAACTGTTTCATTAAAAAAAAAAAAAATAGTATATTAAAAAAAAAAAAATCCTTTGGCTTTGATGAACTTTTGGTGAAGCACAGACTGAATGTGTCTCGCCTGCTGCCGGCTCCCCCAGATCAGCATTCCCACCCTCTGGCATTCCTCCTGCAGCCCAGGGAATCCCTGCAGCAGGACAGGCTGTGAGGTCACCCAGGGATGGCATCTCCTGGGGTGCCACCTCCTGCCCATCCCCAGGGCTGGGGGATGCTGGGGCTTGCAGGGACCCAGGCTGCTCTGGAGTTTTCAATGTGAAATAATTCGATGCTTTTAAAACCTCTCGTGTTCAGACTTTTCCCTCCTGGTTGTTCCAAAACGGAAAGGGTTTTCTCCTGCATGTCTCGGGCTGGGATATTTTGAAATGCAGGAGTTGGGTGAACTCAAGTGCTAAATTTTCCCAGTGTCCTGGTCACAGCCAACCGATGGAAAATTGAAAGTTGCAAATCAACCTGGCTGGGTAAATTAGAACAGGCTGGCAGACATTTAGCCAAACAGAAAAGGAGACTTCATTTCCCATGTAATTATTTTGGGACGGATTCTCTGTCACACAGACATCCCTGGGAGGACTGGGTCCAAATGAACAACGCTGTGATTTCTGCAGGGTACTGGGAGCTGTGCAGGAAACTGTGCCCGTGCTGGGGGGACAGCCACCTCAGGGCCCTGCAGATGGGTGCTCCTGGCCTCTGGCAAATGGTGACAGGGCTGAATGCTGCCCTCAAAGTCCAGGAGCAGCCAGAGGGACAACCTGTAGTGCTGGCCTTAGTGCGGTGCCCTGCTGGGAGCACTGCTTTTGCCCTGTGCAGGGAGGGAAGGAGGAAAGGCTGGAGCTGAAGTATGTCGGGTGGGATGTAGGAATTGTCCAGGTGGGCTGCTCAGAGCTCCTGGGATGTGCTGAGAGATGCACAGGAATGAGTGTCGCCACATTTCATACGTACAGACCTCAGAACACAGAGAGATATATGAACACAGACATTTGATATATGATATATATCAAATATAGGCTGTACACACTGTAGCTATGGCCTTCTTCCCCACAGGTTTTTATCCCAGACACACTAACACAGATCAGACACAACCTGTGCGTGGCTGTTTCTAAGCCAAGGCATTTGTCCCCATCAAAAACGGCTTTTGACACACCCCAAACCAAATTTCTGACCCCATTTTCTCCATGGCACAGAACTGCCTCAAGCAGCAAGACTGGCTCTGAGCTTTACCAAACGGCACCAAAAGCAGCGGACCTTGAGGATTTGGTTGATTTTCCAGCAGCAAGTGAAATGAAAAGCCTGGCAGACCGTATCCAGCCATCCCAGAGGCAGGATGCGTGGAGGTGCCGGGATTTTTTGGGGGAGCTGCGATGATGGGGTGGGCGGAGGGGTAGGGGCAGCAGGTACCCTCAGTTCTGCCTCCCGAGGAGGGGAGCGGCGCATCCTCCAGGGAGTGCCCGGGGATGGGGGAAAGCGGAGCATCCTCCCGGGGGCGGAAAGCGGAGCATCCTCCGGAGGGTCCCGAGGGAGGGCGAGCTCAGCATCCTCCGGGGGCATCCCGGGGGTAGCCCGGCGCTGCGTGGAGCGGCGGGAACGCATGCGTGCGGTGCGGGCTCTCCCCGCCGGTGCCCCCCCGGTCTCGCCGCAGGAAACCGGCTGGCGGCCGCGGGCCGGCGCCGGGGGAGGCGAGGGGTTAACCGGGGTGGGGGCATCCCGGGCCGAGAGGTGTGAATTCCGCCCGCTCTCCCCCCTGCCTCCCCCCACGCCGCCGCTATAAGAGCGGCCGGCGCGGGCTGGGGGGAGCCACTGCGGCGGCTCCTCCTCGCTGGAAGCCCCGGCGCTTTTGGCTGCCCTTTGAAGTCGGAGAGGGAGAAGGAGGGAGGGAGCGTCTGGGGCCGCCGCTGCTCCGCTCCGCTCCGCGCCGCCGCCGCTCCCGCCCCGGCTCCGGAGCATCGTCCTGCCCGGCGCTGCCGCCGCCAGGTACGGCCCGTCCTGTCCTTTCCCATCCTGTCCTCTCCCATCCTGTCCTTTCCCATCCCGTCCGTCCCATCCGGACCCCGCGGAGCCTTGAGATGGAGCACCGCATCCCCGCCCCGCATCCCGGCACCGCATCCCGGCTCCGCATCCCGGCACCGCATCCCGCTCCGCATCCCGGCTCCGCATCCCGGCACCGCATCCCGGCCCCGCATCCTCCCGGCCCCGCATCCTCCCGGCCCCGCATCCCCGCCCCGCATCGCCCGGGCGCGGCCGTCGCCAGGTACGGCCCGTCCTGTCCTTTCCCATCCTGTCCTCTCCCATCCTCTCCCATCCTCTCCCATCCCGTCCGTCCCATCCCGACCCCGCGGAGCCTTGAGATGGAGCCCCGCATCCCGCTCCGCATCCCGGCTCCGCATCCCCGCCCCGCATCCCGGCCCCGCATCCCGGCCCCGCATCCCCGCCCCGCATCGCCCTCCCGCTGCCCCGCGATGCTGCTCGTCCGCATCCCTCCCCCGCTCCCCTTTCTTAATTTTCCCTTCATTGAAGCACGCAGCTCCCAGCGCCTGTAGGATAAACTCCGAGCGCGCTCTGGTATTGGCTTCGAGTCAGGAGTGTCTGGGAGCTTTAATGAGAACCAAGTGTAAGGCGAGGCTCAGCCACCTGTCCGCGGGATCCCCGGCCAAGCGCTCCGGGCTCCCATTAATCAATGCATCTGCCTCTTGGAAAGTCTCTTTTGCATGCTGCACCTCTCCCCCAGGGCGATTGCAGAGCGGATTTGGGGACCTGGAAGCCCTCTGGTATTTTTTTTTTCTAAGCGGGGCTGGTGTTGCCGGCAATTCCGCGATTTCAAAACCTTTGCAAGGAGAAAAAAAACCCAAAAAAACCCAAACAAAAATGAGTAGGAAAGAAGCTCTTTATATTGCAGGTCTGCAGTCCTGCCCTCTCTCCCCAGGAGCAGCACCTCTCCCACCCCCCTGCTTCCCAAAGATAGTGTCTAGCTGCTTTTCAAGGGAAATTAGCTTAGGGGAGGATATTTTTTCTTTTCTTTTTCCTCACAGACATGAGCTGCTTTGATTGCCTGGAAGCATGATTTCCTGAAACCTGCTCCTTTCTGGCTCTTGCAGGGAGGTTCACAATAAAACGTATTGTGGTTTTGAGCTGGGTTTTATTTAAGAAAATGCCATTCTGGGTTACTCTCTTTCATGAGGCAGATGGAGAAAGAGATGAAAGGCTGACACTTGGGATACTTCATTTCTGCTCTTTAATTGTGGGTCGTGTCTTTTCTATAAGAACAGGCGTTTTCCCTGAGAACTGAGGGGAATTGGAGTGGAATAAATGAAAAAAGGAGGAATAATGGCTGTTAATTGCATTTTTTTTTTTTGAAGCCTTTAATCTCGTTCTTCCAGGAGCAGTCCTGTAAATGGGGATATTTAAATGCGCTGCTTTTACAGATCCAGAAACACTTCTGGCTACTCACTGTGCTTCTGTGTAAGCCAGGTTCTCTTCCAAGGCAGCCTTGGAGCAGTGTCAGGTGCAGCCACGGGAAACCAGTGCAAAGTTGTGGTTTGACAGATAGAAACGGAGCTGGGAAGTGAACCTGTACCACGTTCATGCTGCTGTTAATTAAATAAAACTTCAGGCTGGGGTTCCTGCAGTCGCTGGTGGTCGGTGTCACTGAGCTGAGCGGGAATGATGGAGCAGAGCTCTGGAACCAAGAGCAGGTCCTGCTGCTGGTCGTGGGGCTGGGTGGGAGTTGTGCTTAGTGCAGTGTTTGGTTGCTTTCTAGGATGAAGATATCCAAGTGGAGGTGGAGCAGCATCTCCCTCAGTGCTCAGCTGCAGCTGAAAGGCACCTTGGCCCTTCTTCTTGTGGGCAACGTTGTCTTTGTCATAGCTCAGGTAAGGCTAGCAGGTTTTTGGGGGCTCTCTGGGCTTTAAAACGCTCTGGTGTCTGGGATGGGAACCCTCCAGGCTTGCAGAGCTGCTCTGTGTGTGCACCTCATCTCCAAAAATTGTGAGGGCTTCTGACTTGCCTTCACTCTTTAGTACCTACCATGGCTAAGAGATTCACAGATAATTTCGAGGACTCTGGAGGGCCATGCCCTGCTCTTGGGTGAGCAGCACTCCTTGCTCCCTGCAGTGGCTGAGCTTTCATTTACTTTGCATGCAATATTTGCAGTTCCTCTGCCCTCTGATGTGTGGTTACAAGGAGTGGGAGGTGGGGGTGCCAGGGACCCTCCTCCAGTGACAAACCTGTGCTTGCAAAGAGAGCACACGGGCTCCTCCATCCTGCTGGCACCCCCTGGCACCCTCTGACCTGCTCTCCTGCTGCAGAGGGGTTTTGCAAAGGTTTGTTGAAGCTTCCAGTGGAGCTTTTCAGCTCTGCAGCTCCCTGAATTCTCTGCGGAGCAAGAGTCAGAGAGCACCAAGAGTCTTGGAGAGTTTAGGGTTGTTTGGGAGCTCGGTTTTGCCAACTGAGCGAAACAATGAGAATTTCCTTTCCTGAGGAATCCCAAATATTGCCACTTCATTCCAATTTTGTAATGAAAACACAATTGCAAGAATGCAGGGATGGAAACCTCAGGCTTGACCTCAACTGGAGAAGGCAATGCCTGGGTCGAGTGGGGCAGGCTGGGAGTGGAGGGGTGACCTCGGTGTCCCCACACAGGCTCTGAGGGTTGGATGTGACTCCTGCTTCTCTGCCTTCCCCCGTGCTCCCAGCAGGACCTGACCCAGACGTCCAACAGCCTGGAGGAGGGCTCAGATGTCACTGCTTACTGGTGGGGAGAGTGGACCAAGTGGACAGCGTGCACCAGGACCTGCGGGGGAGGTGTCAAATCCCAGGAGAGGCACTGCCTGAGGCAGAGGTACAGCACCAGGGGCTGGGGAGGGGCTCTGCAGCTGCCTGACCCCAAAGGTCAGCACTCAGATGGAAATGTGTCTGGGCAAACCCTGCTGGAGCAGGAGGGGGTTTCCTGAGCTTTGGGCATCCCTGCCAGGAGCACCAGCTGAGTGATTCCCCTGCTGGCCCTGCAGTCAGGCACAGACTGAGCCTGTTCTCCAGGGCACAGCAGCCCCTGCTGCAGGGCTGGCTGGGGACCCGCTGATTCCATCTGCTTTATGCCTGGCTCTGCCTCTCTGGGCAGTGTGGCTGCCAAAAGCCACTTTGTAAACCTTGTCCCCAGGCCCTCACCCCATGACACCTCCTGGAGTAGCTGGTGATGCAGGTGACAAAGCCACAGAGACCTTTGCTGCCAGCTCCAGGGACACTGACAGATCTCTGTGTGGCTCTGCTGTGTAGACACTGACCTTACAGAGAGCAAATATATTTAAACGAGGGAAAATGATTTCTGCCCCCCATCTAACCACCATTTCCTTATTCAGAAGGAAGTCAGTGAGTGGGCTGGCTAATAAAACTTGCACTGGAACATCCAAAAGATATCAGCTCTGCAAAGTCCAAGTAAGGATATCCTTTGTCTCGTTGGGAACACTCGGTGTGGAAGGTCATGTATGGCATTCCTGGGTCCCTTGGAGAGGGGACACCATTTGTCTGTAGCTGTCACCCTGTTGCCCCCCCAAGCTGCTGGGGGTTCCCTTCTTTGGTGCCCACCACCAGTGTCTGGGCTTTGGGCATTTTGCCATAAAAACCAGAGAGTGGCTCTGGTAACAATTCCCAGGGGGTTCCTGCAGTGGGGGGAGGAAGAGGAGGAGGAGGAGGAGGATGTGGCCTGGCTGGGGAAGGTGATGGAAACACTCCTTGCAGCTGGTGGTGATGTGCCAGAAACCTTTCCCGCACTTTGTTTCCGTCAGGATGTTAATGTATCCCATTCTAGGAGTGCCCTGTGAACGGAAGGAGCTTTCGAGAGGAGCAGTGCTCATCATTTAACTCCCATGTGTATAATGGCAGAACGTATCAATGGAAACCTTTATATCCTGGTAACAAGACATTCTTTGTGTGTTTCATAATGCTCAGCCAAATATTTTGATAGTTATGATGCTACAGCCCGCAGGAAGGCTCCTCCTCTGCTGTTTGAAAGTGGTTTTTTGGAGGCACAATCAGCTGTCTCCCGAGTTCAAAGGCTTGTTTGGCAGCTGCAGGGTAGCTTGAAAATTAAATAACAACATGAATTCATGTCTGTAGCCTGTGCTGGTCGCAGCTCCCAGGGACCAGAGGCTGCAGGAGGATGTGAGAGCAGGGGGTGATGGGCTGTGCTGGCAGGGACAGTCGGGCTCACCCAGACAAGTGTCCTTTGAGCAGGGATCTGCTGTTTTCAGAGATATTTGGTCTCTCCCACGCCCTCTGTGTGCTCTGTCAAATGTCACTGAGATGCAGCCGGTCACTTTGGTCATCTGGGGTGAGCAAGAGCTGCAGAAACAGCTTGGGACTCAGAAACTGAGGTTTTATTGAACTCCCATCAAAATCAAGCATTAAACACAAGCCATGGAGGAGCTTTAGAGCTGCTGGGATGCCAGGACCCTTCTCCTGAGGAGGCTCCTGAGCTCAGGTTCTTCAGATTCACTTGGATACCTTAAAATAGAGATGGGATCAGATTCATCTTCACTTCAGATTAATTTGAGTGCCTAAAAGTAGAGATGGGATCTACTGCAATTTTGTTTTAGGGTTATCTGTACATACCCAAGAGCAATTATCTTATTCAGATTAATTTCCCTGTGTACCAACCCCTGGCTCTCCAGCCTTGGCAGGGTCAGCGAGGTAGAACTTGGCCCATGAGCAAATTCTCCTTGGTGGCTTTTGTCCCTTGAAGGTGACAATTGCCTTAAACACATTTGCTGTTCAAGCTGGCTCAGCAGAGATGTTGCAGGAGTTGTTTTGTGTTTGAGCAGGCGTTCCTGTGGCTCCTGGGGGATTTGCAGCAGAATATTTTGACACTGATGCTGCTTTGCTTGGGTGTGGGGGCCAGTGGGTCTCTGATTGCTCAGGAGTTGGTGGTGTCAAACACTTGGCATCGGGGTTCTGATGCAAATATGATTTTGTCATCTGTTTCCTGTGGATATTATAAAATGTAGGATTACTGTGCTGGTGGGTGCTGCCAGCCAGTTGTTGTCTGCAGAAAGCAAAGGGTGAATTAAGTCCATCTTGGGTGAATGTTTATGGAAAAGTTATAGATCATAAAATGCTCTGAGCTGCTATGGTTTTGAATATAATCTTACATGTGTATTTCCAACAATATATGTGTAAATTTAACTCGTGTATCAAGTGCTGCAAAGTGAACATGCATGTTTTTGTGTAATGCACGAGTCCTTGCACGGAGCAGTGCTGCTGCCTCAGTGCCTGCCCTGGGCTGGTGCTGGTGATGCCCCTGGCATCCCTAGGGCATCTCTTCCTGCCAGGCTGTGCAAAGGCTGTCACACTGTCCCAATGCCACCTCCTGCCTACCCTGAAACACAAGAGATGGCCACTTCTGAACTCTCACTGCCCTGCAGTTGTGCTGCTGTTGTTTAGCTTGGCAGAGATTCACTGGCTTGGGTAGGATGAAAGTTGTGGTGTTTCTGCTGTTTTTGAATCTCTCTTTATATCCTTTCCCCTTAGATGACTATGTTCACATTTCTAGCAAGCCCTGTGACCTTCATTGCACCACGGTGGATGGTCAGAGACAGTTAATGGTTCAGGCCAGGGATGGAACCTCCTGCAAATACACGGATTTCCGAGGGGTTTGCGTGTCTGGAAAATGTGAGGTTGTTAAACATTATAGCAAAAATATTGTTAGTAGCATTCAGAGGATCGCAGTGGGTGCGACGTTTGCCTGACCCTCAGCGCTCTGTCTGTGCATTTTTTAGCCCATTGGATGTGATGGCATTCTCTTCTCCACCCACACCTTGGATAAATGTGGAGTTTGCCAAGGAGATGGGAGCAGCTGCACCCACGTAACCGGCAGTTACCGGAAAGGAAATTCTCATCTTGGTAAGGCTTTGGGGACTGAGGGCTTGATTGAGAGGGCTGGGTTTAAAATGGACTCTTTTTTTTTTTGGTAAATTGCTTTCAGGTCTTACCAACTGCCCAGTTTCAGTTTTTCCTGTGTGTTCTATGCGTGTTAATGCTGCCTGTGAGTTTGGGCAGAGAAAAAACAAAAACAAAAAAAAAACCAACCAAAAAACCAGGAAGTTTCCGTGGTGTTTGTCAGAAACCAGAGGTCTCTGATGATGAGTGGTGCAAAAGGGTTATGCAAGAGGCTGGTATCTATTTTAGTCTTTTTTAGTCATTTAGCCAAAAACAGGACACTCATGACCCAGTGAGACTAGAAATAAACGACTTGTAATAACAGGAAGCTACAATATCTTGAAAGACCAGGATTTCAAAAATCGGTGTGATGTAAAGCAGCCGAACCTACATGTCCTAAATATAACAATCTAATTCAGGAATTATGATTAATGCTCTCTGAGATGGAGCAAACTGCAGGAACTTCAGTGCCTGTGGGAGGACTTGTCCTGTCCCATCTCTTGTCTGGTGCTAGGCAAAGGGGAGTCAGAGGAGAAACCAGCTCCCACCTCCTGCTGGAGTTTCCTGCTGGGAATGCTGGCTAACACAGGGATCAATACTGAACCACACAACAGCTTCTCCAGCTAATAAAACCATCTGCAGATGTATTTTCTTACACCAGTTTAGATAAACATGAAATTTGTGCATGTAAGAACTGAATCCTTTCCCCCTTTTCCTCCATAAACCAGGACAAAATTCACATATTTTTTCTTTTCTATTACCAATAAACTCCTGTTTGCAGCCTAAAGCACGAAGGGTTGGGATTTTTTAATCCACAGCTCATTAAAAACGTGGGTTTAGGCCAGTGTGTTGGTTGGATTGCAGCTGTGCCTGAGGAGGGCTTGGTTCAGATCACTGGTTGCAAAGATCCTCTCGTTAATCCGGAGTTTCCCGTAGGTTATTCCCTGGTAACGCACATTCCCGCCGGAGCGAGGGATATCCAGATAGTGGAACGGAAAAAGTCTGCAGATGTTCTGGGTGTGTATAACCTCTTGGTACTTCCCTAGGATGCATGCCTATGCTGGTTAATGCTTTTTCCAATGCAGATCTGGATGTAGTTTTGTCATAGAATCACAGAATATCCTGAGTTGGAAGGGACCCACAAGGATCAGCGAGTCTGTTTGCTGCAGACATGAGTTAAATCCGTAGGCAATGTAAATCCATCCACGTTGTCCAAGCCAGGCTGTTGCTCCTCTCTGCAGTCCGAGCACCTGGGCTGTGTTTGTCAACATTTTGATTGCTTTAAAGCAGAAAATGTTGGTGAATATTACTGGGATTTCAGTGGGGTGTGACAGGCCCCGGTGCTGGGTCACAGATGGACAAGTGACTTCACCTCTCTGGTGATCCCCTTAATCTTCCCCTGCCTGGGCAATGTGCAATGACAACAGCACCACAGGGATCTGACCTACAGGTGGCTTTGCTGAACTGTGGGTGACCACACACCCATCTCATGGGGGATGTGACAGAGCTGCTCAGGAGCAGTGTGGAAAAATCCAGACTTGCCAAAGAGAAGTACATTTGCTGCCTCAGAGGCTCGTGGCATCTGGAAGGTGGCTGTCACTTCCCTGGAAGTGTTCAAGGCCAGGCTGGATGGGATTTTGAGCAGCTTGGTCCAGTGGAAGGTGTCCTGGCCCATGGCAGGATGAGATGAGCTCCAGGATCCCTTCCAATGCAAACCATTCCAGGAGGATTCTGTGGATGAAAAAGGGTTGATGTGGTTCCTGGTTCCTGGGCTGGCTCAGGGCAACCTGTCTTGGGCCACTGCTGGCTCAGGGGGCATCAGCTCCTGCCTTGGCCACCTGTCAGTGCTCTCTGCAGAGCTGGGACTGTTCAATTTTCCTGCTGGGCTGGTGCCAAGGGGGTGACAGGAGCCAGGGGCGAGTGTGAGCCACATTCCCAGGGATTTGCAATGTGGAGGGACACGTGGCCCACAACTCTGGGCACATCCTCACGTGGTGAGTGTTGCAAACAGGTGACCAATGCATTGCCATGTAGGAGAATCTCTTTTTTTATTTCTGTGGCGCTGATTTTACCCCCTGAACATGGGCAGCATCCAGAGCTTTGCCCTTGCATGTGACAGCACTGACTGTTCTCTCTCTTTTGAAGCTGTGGCTGATGAAGCTGGGTACTATTTCTTCAATGGGAACTATAAAGTGGACAGTCCAAAGAACTTCAACATTGCAGGCACGGTGTTCAAGTACCGCCGGCCCATGGACGTGTACGAGACCGGCATCGAGTACATTGTTGCCCAGGGACCCACAAATCAAGGGCTGAACATAATGGTGAGCTTTGACTTCTCATGTTCTCATGGTGAGGAAGAGAAAATCCACCTTGGATGGAGGAAGGGGTGACCTTGTGAGCAGAGTCCTGCTATGCTTCACATGAGGAGGGGATGGGAGCAGTGACTCTGCCCAGTTCCTTACCCAGCCCTATTTTGCTTGTGTCAGTGCTCTTGGATTCAGGCAGGGTTGTGAGTGGTGAATGTGGGCTTGGTAACTCCTCTCTGCAGGGAGAAGATGCCTCAGGCACTGTGAGGGGATTTCTCCTCTGCTCCTTGGCATTTTTATCCAAGTTACCTGGCAGGAAAAGCAAAAATAAGAAACTGGGCCAGAGAGCTTAGACAAGTGCATAAACCTTAAACCCCAATTCTTTCTCAAAAGCAAACCGTGTAAAACCAGGTATTTGGAGAAAAGTCCCTTAATTTTCTTCTGGGCAGCCAGCCAGAGCCCAGCTCCTGACATCTTCCATGTAGCCCCAGGCTCCTCTGGAAGGGGAAGGGATGGTTGCTTGGGTGCTTTAAAAGCATTAGACCACTATGAGGCTGTCTCAGCTGGGAGTCCCCAGCCCCAGGGGGGTTTAGCAGCTGCAGGGGAGGGTGTGCTCCTCATAAAGCCACAAAAAGTGGCTTTGCAAGTGGCTGCCCCAAGCCTCCGGTCACTCAGTGGCCATGGAGGAAGTGTGACCTGTGGCTCCTGAGCTGGGGTTAATCCCCACAGCAGCACTGCCAAATTACCTTTGGAAAATGGTGCAGGGCTCCAGCAGGAAGAAGCTGGCACTGTGAAGGAAAACAGATTGGAAATAGCAAAATAGCAAAATAGATCCTCCCCAACTGTCAGGTCCAAGATGAATCCCATGCTTTACGTGCCACAGTTACTGATAATAACTTGATTTCTTTGCTAGGTCTGGAATCAAAACGGCAAGAACCCATCCATCACGTTTGAATACACCCTCCTGAGGAAGCCACACTCAAAGAATCTGCAGCCCATCTACTACACCTTCTCCGAGTCGGAGAGCGAGGAGAGCCGAGAGCTCGATGGAGACGTGCCACTGGGCTTTATCCAGCCCAATGCAACCTATTTTGGGAAAATCTCCAGGGAAAGGATAGACTTGGAGAACCAGGTGTTTGGAAGGCAGGACACGGAGGAAGATTTAAACTTGAGCAAAGGTCAGGAAACCAATGAGGTCTATGAAAGAGCAGAAACAATTGACTGTGAGCCAAAACTGAAGGGCAAACAACCCCAAGGTAAGGAGGAGACTTGGGCCTCACTGTTCTGCTTCTCAGAGCTCTTGTTGAGAAATGCTCTGTTTCTACCTCTGGTGGTTCTGCTGGTTTGTGTTTTGGAAACCTCGGAAAGTTCTTTAAAACATCTCTGCTCACAAATCCTCTTTGCCCTTCAGATTCTGGTTTCTGGTGGGGGCGTGTGGGGGGTGGACACCGGGTGAGATCTCCCCGCTGGTGCCCTGCTGTGCTTTGCCTCATGCCAAGGACAGGAGGGAGCCCTGGGTGCACAAAATTCCCCATCATGACATCTCCCATCACCTCCCACTCCTCCAAAGCCCCCAGCAACTCCTTCCCATTTGAGTCCCTTGGGCATCCCACCCCCAAAGTGCCTGGAGCGCCTTCCCAGCATGGCTGCATGGGCTGTGGGGCCAGGAGAGCACCTTCCTTTCACCTCTGCTATTGCTTTGGGCAGTGCTGGCGGGTGCTGAGCTCCCCTCTGGCCACACCACAGTGGGATAAGCCCCCTGGAGAACCCCATGAGATTCCCCCTCCCCTTACCCAACCCCTGCCTCTCGCCCCCCGTGCGGCTGCTCAGGCTCCGGCGCGTCCCCGCTGCTCCGGGCTGCTTCTCCCTCCCAGCCTTGATGCATTTTGTGGTTGTCACTGTGGTTTCCCCCCTGTTGGCTCCAATCTAGATTCAAACGTAACCAGGTCTACTTACCAGACAGACCATGGCGACAGCTCCAGGGAGTTCCTTCTGGAGAACGCCATCACGGACAAGCTGCTGGGCAAGGCCTCGGACTCCAAGGAGCTGCTGCTCAACATGACCATGAACAGCATCTTCGCCCAGGGAGACCCGACCAACATGGTGGGGTCACCCATTGACAGCCTCTACGTGGACTACGAGGACAGCGATGGCCTCGTGACCTACTCGGTCAACAGCACCTTCATGGAGCTGAGCAATGGCAAAGCCACCAACGCCTCTGCAGAGACGTTCCCCAACGCCACCGTCACCATGAGCAGCCCCCAAGGGAACAGAACCCACAAAGCAAGGTAGGAGACGTGCCTTTAATTACACTCAATCCAATTTATTGCTGTTCTCGACTCGTAATAGCCCTGTGCTCAATGCATGGTTTCCATCTCTTTGGAAGCAGGAGGTAAGTGGGGGTGGGATGGTGGAAATGTTCTGTTGGGAGTTAATTTGGAAGGAAGGGCCAGAGGTTTGGGAGCAGGAAGTCACGAGAGCATTTAGGCAAGAGGAAATCTTGATGTTCCCCTCGGTGGGCATGCTGAAGTCCATGCTGATGTTTGTCAGTTGGGGCCTTGCTCTCTGCTGTCACAGCTTCTTGTCAGAGCCATGGCCAGGAAGAAGCCTCTTCCTTTTGCCTTCTCTTGACATCCTGTTCCCATTCCCCAGCCCCTTCCTCCGAGTTCTGATGCAGCAGAAGTTGGTCCTGGCCCCTTTCCACCCACCCTGTTGAGTGCCACCCATGATCCTCCTCCCTTGGGATGGCAGGAATATGCTTCCAGCAGCTCCCAGGCGTGGCCCTGCCACCGGGAGCTCCACTGCAGGTCCTGCAGGAACAGCCTGGATTTGTTTCTCAGCAGCTGCAGAAGCAGCTCAGGGAGTCACAGCTTGGTCAGGAAAATCCAAACTCTGCAGCAGCAGCTCATTGATTGATACTGGGACCATCACCTCAGGGCTCCTTTAGATGGCTGGCTTGAGTGGAAGTGGGGAGGTAAAGAAAGGCTTCATGTAGCTACAGCAGCAGGTTTTGCTCTGGGGAAGGGTGGAAGGAGGTTTTGGGTAGGTGCTGATCCCCAAACCTGTGTCTGTCAGCTTTTGAGATGTCCCAGGGCTCTCTGAGGAGCAGCCTTGATTCCCAGCCCAGAACTCATTCCCAGTGTGGCCACATGGGGACTGAGATGGGGCCAGTGCTCACAGCAGTAATTAGCCCACCAATTAGCCCTCCTTCATGGTCAGCCACACACGGGAGCTCTCCCTGGGCAGCTTGAGCTGACACTGGAGCCTCAGGAGTAGCCAGGTGTGGATTTGGGTCCCACTGTGCATCCCCACAGCACCCCAGATCCCCCTGGATCTGTAAAACACAGGATAAGATGCTGAGCTTGAGGAGATGCAAAGCCCTGAGCTGATGCTCCCTCTGGTTAGAGTTTGCTGGATTTACCCACAACTTCCACTACGTTATGCTAAAGACACTCATGCTAAAGCAAATGGCCATGCAGCCAAATGGATCAACGAGCTTCTTAATGATAACAACATGAAAATGTTGCCAAGGGCTTGAATCTATCATCTCTCCTCGTGGCTTGGCTTGGGAGTGCTGCCTTCAGCTGCCAAAGCAAGCATTGCATCCTCTCTGACAGAGAGGGCAGAGCCCTCAGCTCCCCTTGCCCTGCCCTGGGGCAAGGAGGGGACTGCCCTGCCCCTTGGGGCTCCCCTGGGCCCCATCACACTCCCTGTATCCCCTCAGCTGCTGCCCTGCACCCCAAAACTCTACCCCAGCAGCTGTGAAATGGGGGCAGCGCTCTCCTACCTCCTGGGAGTACAGGGAGCTTCAGCCCTCAGAGCAGCTTGGCTTTTACAGGACAGTCAGAGAACTCCCAAAAGCTCGAGAAACAAATGCACGGCTTTATTATTTAGCTCATAATAAAGAGGAAAATTAAAAGAAAAGAGAAATGCCCCCAGTTTTGCTGGACAATGGGCTGCTGTCTGCATTGAGAGGAGAACAAAGCAACAGTTTTGTCTTTGCTGGAAATGAGCTGCCCTGTGCCCAAATGCCTGATTCCTCTGGAAAGATCTTGTCCCTGGGACCTTGTCATGCATAGAAGCTCTTTATTTAGGATCACATTCACTAAAGGGACACTGTTGAAAGATTTTCTGTCCTCAGATGTGGGATAAAGCTTATTTTGAAGATTTTCTCCTTTTAAAGACTGAGGAGGCCTGGTCACAGGATAACTTGGTGTTTACTTTGGTGCCTCGGAGATCAGGGGATAGACTGCAGGATCTGGGTAATATTTGCAGGCAAATTAAAGTACAAAAAGCAGATGTTGGCTATGTTTTAATGACAAGTGTCATTTGTGAGCCCTCTCCTGGCTGGGTGGCAGCTGGTGGCACAGGGATCAGGAGCTGGTGTGGGTCCCCAGGCAGAGCTGCTGTGGCAGATAAAACACTATTTATACTGAGATGAGGTTGTTATTTTTCCACCAAAAAAAAAAAAATATAGTCACATCCATTTCAGTTCCATTTCAAGCGCAGGAAGCGACCATTTGCCAAACTGACAGAGGCAAAATCAACAGGGAAAATGAGATTGTTGTTGTTTTTAATCCTTCTGGAGGCTCAGTGCTGGCGGTGGAAGGAGGGTGGGTCGGAAAGGAAATGGCTGGATTCTCAACAGTGTCCTTTTCAAGGTTGATTTGATAGGCTGGACCTCAACTTTTTCTTACAAACAACTAAATAAGGCAATTCCAGAGCTTCTGCTGCCTAGAAATCATACAAGCTGCATATCCTGCCAGGCCAGAGACAACTGGATGTGAGGATACAACCTTGTACACTATTCCAGTGTAGCTGTTTCAAGGGTTTGGACAAAGGTATGAGAACAGAACCGAAGCCTCTTGTTGTAAAGGTGCAGTATCCCTGAGGTGTTCCCCCCTCCCAGCACGGGGAGCAGCTGCAATTCCTGCTTGGATAAATGGTTTTTGCTCACACCAGGCTGACTCTGTTACTCCTGTCCCCGTGGCATTTTGTGTTTGAGCACAGCGTGGAGCTGAGAGATGCAAATTCCCCACTTGACATCCAGCAAAATAAATCAAACCAAAAGCAGAGTGGCAAAATCATTGGGCTTTGAGGGGCGAGCTCAGAAACTCCTGTGCTGGCTTTTGGAGATTGGAGCAGCCAAAATCTCTGCTGCACTGAGCAGCACGAGTGGGTTTGCCCAGCCCTGGAGACACAGGGGAGGAGATACTGCACCTTTAGTCACTGTGTGCCGAGGGCCAGGTGTATTTGAGCAGAAAATGCAAACTTTTGTTAAATTCTGAACTGTTTCTACTTGTGGGTATTTTTATCCCATTCTCTCTATTTCTAGACAGTGGAAGCTCTGCCTCTAACCGGGCTGGGGATTCTACTTGGGGCTCAGGACAGGTATGTTGTGAAACTCAAAAAAATTAAAAATTGATTCAAACAAACGAACCTCCCAAAAAATCAGAACAACCAAACCCAACCAAAGCCAAACCAAGCACATCCCCTCCCAAACCCACACCCAACCGAACTGCAGCCAGATGTGTGTGTCTGTCGTGGGCTGTCACCGCTCGCCTTGTAAATGCCTTTTGTTTTGTTTTGTTTCTTTCTTTTTTATTTTGTTTTGTTTTGTTTGCTTGTCGCTAGAAACAGATTGAAGTTGTTAAGAAAGGGCCAAGGTGTGAGTGCTGCTGACATGTACAGGTGGAAGCTTTCCTCCCATGAACCCTGCAGCTCTACATGCACCACAGGTAGTTATAAGAAGCAGCCAAATTCTGCACAACCTGCTGAAATCACCTGGTGTGTGAGTCCATTTTCTGTCTGTTAGGGATGGGAAGGAGCTGGTGATGTTTAAGGGATCTTGCTTTAGCTCTGCTGTGCTTGGGTGCAAAGGTGGGGAGAGGAGCTGGGGGCTGAGCATGCAAACCCCACCGAGCTCTCAGGTGTGCTGAGGACCAGGAGGTGGTGCCCAGCGTGTCCATCATCCCTCCAAACACCCTCCCTTTGGGAAGCTCTGAGCACTGCCTTCACTTCCCATCACTTTGTGTCCCCCCTGGGGCTCAGCAGGATCCCCAAACCTGTCCTGAGCCTCCTTTTTACCCCCCCCCTTCCTCACCTTTTTGACAGCTTCAAGGGGTTTGAAAAGCTCAGCTGCTTCCCTGCGGAGAGAAATTTTAAAGATTGTTCAGCTCTGGCAGGAAGCACAATAGCATTTGGCTTTTTGATTATGTTTTGTTTCTCCCACTCCTTCTACCCTGGAGCCTGAGCTTGGCTGCGAGGGTGTAAATCTGGAAGAGGGACAGAGATGCCAGGGGTATCAAAACTGAGCCTCTATTCTTCAGGCAGAAATTCCCTTTTTTCCACATTAATTCCTCCCTTTTGGTCCCCTGAAAAGCTTCAAGGCACCTGATCTCCTCCCTCACCCCTTGGTTAGGGGGTCCTGTTGATCCCTTGGGATTAATCAGGCGTGTGGGTTGTGCACTTGTCTGTGCTGCCCCTGAAATTATCCAGAGCCTGCAGTGCTTCTGGAATTAAAAAGAGGGAAAGGAGTGGGAGAGAGGAGTCTACCATCTCAGAGACATCTCTTAAAAGATTAAATGCAAGGATTTTACATTTTAAGCATTTGCTCTGGTCCAGCAGCCTCATGCCTGCAGCAGGAGCTTTGTGAGCTGTCCCTTTCCCCAGGATCCCGTCCATCCACGTGTTCTGGGACATTTTTGACTTCTTTGATCCCCTCTGAATAAATTTCTCCCTTGGCTGGGCCAGCCTGGTGTGCCCTGGTTTGCAGCAAGCCAAGAGAGGTTTAACTCAAATTTCTCCTTCCTCGCTGCCTTTTCTCACTGACATATCGCAGAGAGGCGAGGCCATGTCAAGAGCTGTAGATCTTTTTTTAGTTTCATGTAAACCATATGTTCCCCAGAGCTGCAATTCTTGTTACCTGTAGCCAGAGCAGCCTCCTGGTCCCCAGCCAGGTCCCAGAATGGACTTCCCAACATTTACTCTGGCACGGGAGGCTGTGGGGGAAAAGGTCTCGCTCTGACGGCACCGGCTGCCGCTGCCTTGCAGGGGGAGCAGGAGGGGCAGCACCTTCCTTGCCAAATTCCCAGGATCCCTGCCTTGGCCTGGAGTTCTGGATGCACCTGGGGAGCACCTGGTGCAAAGGGATGGGTAATGCACAGGGAGAGTGGGGGATGGAGAGGGTTGGGGACCTTTTGCTGTCGCCTCCCCCCACCAGGCTGCCAAGCAGACTCGTGGCCCTGAGTATTTCCTATAAAAATGTGTTAGTCATATATTGGTTTTGGTGGCAAGCCCTGGTAGGGGTGGCCGTGCCCTCCTCTGAGCTGGCCAAACTCAACCACACCGCTCAGATTGGTGGGGTGGCCACTGTGATATTCCCTCCAGCAGCACCCATGCCACGGGACAGGAACTCCAGCTTCCTGCTTGCCACAGCGAGGAAGTTTGGAGAAATGCAGCTATAACCAGAAAAACAACAACAACAACAACAGAGTTAGGATGTGCAGCTCACCAAGCACCCTGCTGTGTGTGTGTGTGCTCTCTCTGACCCCAGGAGTGATGTCCACCTATGCCATGTGTGTTCGCTACGATGGGATCGAAGTGGACGATACCTACTGCGATGCCATGACCCGGCCCGAGCCCATCCATGAGTTCTGTGCTGGGAGAGAGTGCCAGCCAAGGTACTGCCTGCACGGGGCACTCCTGGAGTCTCTGTGCTTCCTCTGCCCTGGATGGTTTTTGGGGGGAGGGTTGCTGTGGATTTGGGGGGCAGCGGGGATGGCTCATAGCACCCCCATCCCTCCTCCCTTAATTCTGTCTGGGAAGCAGCAAGAGTTTCCTCCTGAATGGATTTGGGGGGCAGCAGGGATGCTCATAGCACCCCCATCCCTCCTCCCTTAATTCCATCTGGGAAGCAGCAAGAGTTTCCTCCTGAGTGCTTTAGCTCAAGCTGCCAGGTTAAAAATTCCATAAATCCTGGCAGAGTTAGCACAGGGGCTCCCAGCAAGGCCAGCTTTGAGCAGTGCAGGATCATCCTGCCCTGCCTGGCACATGGAAAACGTGTGAGTGAATTGGGTGGAGGGGCTGGGCTTGCAAACTCTGCCACAAAAACGCAGCCCTGTGATCCCTCCAGCATCCCAAACCTCACTGAGGTTTGCTTGTGCTGGGGCAAGAGCTGGTGCAGAGAGGAGCTTGTGCTGGAAGTCCTGTGGAAAGTTTTCCTTCTGATGTGGCTCTTGTTCCAGGCAGTGACCACAGGCTGGAGCCAGGCTGTCCGGAGCCACACTGCAGCTCTGGACAACTCCAGCTGTGCAGGCTGGGAGGAGTGCAGGGCACAGAGGCTTTGGGCAGGACAGACCCATGTCTGGCACAGGGAGGGAATTGTCCCACTCTGGTCCGTGCTGGAGCAGCCTGTCCTCGAGTCCTGTGTGAAGTTTTGGGTGCCACCATAGGAGAAAGTGATAAAGGCAGGTTGTGAAGGTGGTGAAGGGTGTGAAGGAGCCCTACAAAGAGCAACTGAGGTCACTTGGCTTGTTCAGCTTGGAGGAGACTGAGGAGAGACTTCATTGCACCCTACAAGTTCCTCACAAGGGGTCACAGAGGGGCAGCACTGATTTCTTCTCTCCTGTGACCAATGTCAGGACCCACAGAACGGCTGGAGCTGTGTCAAGATTTAGGTTGGACTTCTCAGGGAAATGTTCTTCCCCCAGAGGTGCTGGGCACTGCCCAGGCTCCCCAGGGAATGGGCACAGCCCCGGAGCTCCAGGAGTGTTTGGGCAATGCTCCCAGGCACGGGGTGGGGTTGTTGGGGGGGCTGTGCAGGGCCAGGAGCTGCACTGGATGATCCCTGTGGGTCCCCTCCACCTCAAGGCATTCTACTCTATGGCTGTGATGGTGTCAGACTATGGGAGCAGTAAAAGGAGGAGTAAATCCAGGGATCCACACCCTGGAATGGTGGGAACAGGGTGAAGTACCAGCCCAGTGATGCCAGGGACCAGGGAGGGCTCCTGGAGAGTGCTCAGGTGACTGTGAAGGAGGACAGGTAGGACATGGAGTAGAAGATCTCCTGGAACCTCTCCTGTTAGGGCTGAGAGCCAGGGCAGGCTGCAGCTGAGGCAAGAAAAATGTGGGGAGGTGAATGGTGCTGCTGCAGGGAATGCACCCACCCTGAGGGCATCGTGGGGACTGGAATCTCTGTTTGCTGTCAATTTTTAAAACAAGCATTAGGGTGCCTTTTGTTCTAAGATTCCCCTAAAGCTGTCCCTCCTTATGGCTGAGCTGTTCCAGCTTCAGGGGCTTGCACTGTGAGGGAGAAGAGCTGCTCTGTGATTTACCAGTGCCTTCAACTGGGGAGCACTGGGAGATCATGGGGTAGCCATCAGCTTCCTCCTGAGTGCTTCAGCTCAAGTTGCCAGGTTAAAAATTCCATAAATCCTGGCAGAGTTGGCACCTGGGGCTCCCAGCAAGTCCAGCTTTGAGCAGTGCAGGATCACTTGGCAGCACTTGGGCAGACAGGAAGATGCTTGGGCTGGCAAGGCTTTTCGAGGAAAAAATGTTAATTTTGCGTGATCTGGATGGGGAAGACCTTCGTTTCATTTCCCTTCTGAAGTTAGGTGACACCTCTAAATGACATTTCCAAATGTGTGACATCTCCTTACGGCTGCTTGTTGTGCCTGGAGCCCCAGATGGGGTGTGAGGCTCGGGGGCAGCCAGGGCTCTCTGCTCAGAGAACAGCAGCAGTGGGAACCTGGGGGTTGCCCACCTCCAGAGGAGCTGGGAATTCTGATCCATTCCGATTTTTAGCTCGTAGAAAACTTGACCTTTGATGTTTTTTTCCTTGGATTGCAAGCTGCTCCTCTCTTGTCAGGGCAGGGGTGGCAGGGGACAGTAAAGGACAGGCGGTGCTTGGAGCAGATCCCAGCTCTTCCAGCCTGTCACTTGTGCTCAGCAGAGTCAGACTGATGGTGGGACACGAGCGTGTGTCCCACTGGGGCTCGGGCAGATCCGTGTGACATTACTGCTGGCATCTGCAGGGTGATGGATGCCGTGTCCTCTCCGTTCTTCAGCTGAGCAGGCAAAAAGGAGAGGTCAAACACGGGCAAAAAGCCTGACGGAGAAATGTGCTGGCAGAGCCCGCGGTGACAAACGCTCACTTGTCACCGAGGACACCAGGCCAGCCCTGCCGTGCCACCCTCCCTCCTGATGAGCTGCTTCAGCTTCAGGCACGAGCTGGGGGCTGTGGGGTGAGCCCAACATATGTTGATGCTTCCCATCCCTGGGGAAAAGCTCTGAGGAGCTGGCAGCCCGCTCCTGCCTGCAGCCACAGGGTTTTCCCCTGGGCTGCTCCACAGGGTGATGGGCTGACGCTGTTGTGGCAGGACGGGAATGAGGAGACTCTGAGTCAGAAGGCTGAGAGAGTAAAACTCTGATTTATTCCAAAGTGCACCGCTCTTTATACAGAGATTCATCCAGGCCAATTCCATTGGTCCTGTCCTGGTTGGAAAGCAAAACTAGTGAGAAGCTCTAAGTCAGAAATACAATTTATTAGGAAAAGGGAACAAAGAACCAAATACATACAATAGCACAAAAGAAGAACCACTGACAGAGTCAGAGATACAACCTGACACTCGCTGGGGTGGTGGTAGCAGATACGGTTCTGTCCAAGCCGTGCTCCTGCAGACTGATGGAGTTTCCCTCTGGAGGTGCAGTGCAGAGAAGGTCTCAGCTGTTCCTCTTGGAAGAGGGGATCTCCTTGCTGTCTGCACAACCCCGCTGATATCCTTGATGGTGTTGTTTGGCTCCTCGCTCTGGGCGGAGCATTTTACAATAGAACACTGTGATCTTATCAGCCATGTGGCTAAAAGAACAGCTCCTCCTGGAGGGACTTGTCTTGGATAAGGGATAAAAAAGGAATTGCAGCTCGAGGTGGTAATGGAATACACCCCAATATTATAACCTAGGGCAGGTCCTGAAGTAAAAACAAACCCACACCATTGGTGCACAGTGCAAGAACTTAACTATAAACATAAAAAACCTTATTTACATTCTTCTCCAACAGATTCCCAGGCTCTGCCTGGTTAGAAATTTTCTGTTTCCCTGTGAATCTGAGACCCACAGTGGGCTCTGTTCCCTGCCCAGGTGGGAGACGAGCAGCTGGAGCGAGTGCTCGCGGACGTGCGGGGAGGGTTACCAGTTCCGCATCGTGCGCTGCTGGAAGATGATCTCGCCGGGCTTCGACAGCTCCGTCTACAGCGACCTGTGCGAGTCGGCCGACATCGCCCGGCCCGACGAGCGCAAGGTCTGCAAGAACCCGGCCTGCGGGCCCCAGTGGGAGATGTCCGAGTGGTCCGAGGTGAGTGCTGCTGCCCAGCTCAGCGCTGAGTGTTGGAAACGCAGGCGAACCCAATGGGAAGGAATGATGATGTCTGACTCAGTTTAGAAGGCTGAATTGTTTCTTTATTATAACTTGATGTTTCCCCACTCTCAGCCCCTAAATTATCAGGCTAGCCCAGAGATCTGAGGATTTGAGGGGAGGAACATCAGGAGATGGGCAAAGATTTCCAAAAGAGGCTCTCACCTCGATGTGGTTGTCCAGCTCTTTTTATTCTGTGATGTCCAGGGGAAAGAGTAGGGCAAAGAGAACGAGCAGGAAGGGTCAGGGGTTTATCCAGGCTCCTTGGCTCTCCACCAACCCTCTTGGGGATGGAAGGAGAAGACCAGGTTTATCTGATCAGAGTCACAGGGGTCCCAGGGAATGTGGAAAGGCATAGCCCGAGCGCACTGTAACAATAACTATGCTAAAATACATTAATATACTATAGAAAGGAAGATACTAAAGCTACATACTATTTTCTCTGACTCTATCTCTGTTGAAGACCACCCTAGGTCAGGGGTGGCTCCGTGTGGTGAAAAAACTTCTCCTCCAACCCATGCTTCCAAAGAAAACTCTGCAGTCTTTGTTGTTTGGTCTCAAGGCAGTTTATTGATGTTATCTCAAAGATTTTCTTCTGGGGCTGCTGTGGTTTGCTCACAGCTCAGGCAGAGGCACACACACACCCTGACATCCTCTCTGACTCCCGACTGCTTCTTCTCTCCCTGCCCAGGGCTGCTGCTGTCTTTTATATGGTACATTACGTGTTCAATGCATCCACCTTGGGCAACACAGGGCTGCACCCAAAATGAGCAAAACAGTCATAAAATGCACAACCGCTCACGGGGTCTCTCACTTTGATCAGTTCTGCTCCATTTGCATATTGGAGTTCATTGTCCAATTCCAGCTTTAGATTATGAGGTGCCATCCTGCTTGTTTTCCTCTCTTCAGCCCACGTTGTTTGTGTTCTTGGGCCTGAGGTTTGGATCATTTAGTCCCCAGCTAGAGAAGGAATTGTTTTGTCTCCCTGCTCTCTGAAGAGAGTTCACCATCCCATAATATGAAGCTCGGAAGTACACACCAAAGCAGTACAGCATCTGAAAAATATAAAAGCTAAACCTAAAAGTATAAAAAATCAATCCTCATCCGTGGCCATCCACAGCCATCGGCCTCTGAGGATACACTGGTTGCAGTAATGCACGTGGATCAATGAGCATCAATATTTTTCCCTCTAAAATGAAGCCCTGGCTCCCATTTAGGATGGGAGGCCACTGCCATTGGTCACTCACAGGTTGGGCAGGAGCCCATGGCTCAGATCTCCCCATCAGCATTACCTTGGCACCTTCTTTAAATCCAACGTGGCAGGAAGGTGATCCCGACTCACACATGAATTACATCCTTATAAATGTCCCTTCCTCACCTCCAGTTCCTCTGCACCGCACACAGAATGAAACCTTTCCCTAGCTGTGCCTTAAACCAGTCCCCAGAGCCACTGGGATATGGTTTGGGGAGGGTTCCAGCTCATTTGTGCCCCTCAATCCCTTCCCAAGCACGGACAGTGCTCCAGCACATCCCTGGCAAACACAAACTCATGGAAACAACCACACCAGTGCTGCTTCCTCGGGGTGCCTCTTCCCAAATCAAGCACAGACTTCATCTAAGCAGGAGCAGATGAGCTCTGAGCCGAGCTGTCCGTGGGTGCCAACCTGCCCCATGGTTTGCATCACGAGGAATATGACTCTTCCTCCTGGGAAGCTCCCAAAAAACTCCTCTTAGTCATAATTTAAATGTCTCCATTCCCCTGCAAGCTGGTGTGCATCATTTCCCTGGAGCTGACAGAGGGGCTGGTGCATTCCCTGGTGGTGCAGGATGTTTTGACTTTCCCAGCTGGTAGAGAGGAGCTCCCTGAGCACGTGCTGGAGCGTTATTTTGTCCGGCGTAGCAAACCAGAGTGGTTTATTTTACAGAAATGTGTATTCTCCTCCAGCATTTGTCAGGGACAGATTGCTTGAGACATTGCTGGAGTAGATTGCTCTTAGCCAGCAGCAAAGCTAATCTCCTTTGGATCCCATCAGAGGTGGGGTGCCAAGTTGGCTGGGGAAATAGGCATTAAAAAAAGCACATTTCAGGGCTCTGAGGATTAACATCTCGGCACGGTGCGTCTGGGCCCTGTGCTGTTGACACTTTTCCCTGCTTTACGTTATGCATGAAGCAAATGTAATGTGTATGTGAGACTGTAGTAACTCAAATCCAGTTCTAAATAATGTCACTGGGCTGCACGGTGCCAAATTTATCCACAGCATAAAAATCTCAGTTGTGCAGTCACGGGGGGGAAAACATTCTCCGAAGAGGTGGAAGGGAGCTGGCTGTTCCTGGGGAGGAGGCAAGGGAGATCTCACCCTGTCTCTAGGTGACAGCCAGAACTGCTCAGCTCTGAGCAAACATTCCTGGAGCATTTCCCCCTTCTGGCATCACCTGTTGGAGAGCACAGCACCTGGGCAGGACGCTGTCAGGGGGGTTTGGGGGAGTAATTTGTGCGTTTTCACTGGGTGTTTTTAAACTTTTATGTTCAAATATGGGGCAAATATCCGAGGCAGCAGCTGCCGTGGTGGCAGGAGCCCGGCTGATGCCGCTGTCCCGTCCTGGCAGTGCCCGGCGCGCTGCGGGGAGCGGAGCGTGGTGACCAGGGACATCCGCTGCTCGGAGGAGGAGAAGCTCTGCGATGCCAGCGCCCGGCCCCTGGCCGAGAAGAACTGCACGGGGCCACCGTGTGACCGGCAGTGGACAGTGTCCGACTGGGGACCGGTGAGACCCCGCCGTGGCCGCCGGAGTGGCCATCGTGTCCCACCACGGGCTGGCTTGTCCCTGGTGCTGGTGGGGTTGGGGTCTCCATGCCTGGCAGGTCCCAGCTCCAATAAACCTGCAGGCGGCCTGTGCTGGGAGCTGACCTCAAATAATTCCTATTCTTTGGCTCTCTTGGGTCACCGGTGTCACCCTGAGCCACCCTGGCTCGGGCTCTGGGGGTGATCCAGCATCCCAGTGGATCCTGTTGCTTCCCCCTTGGGCTCCTGCCTTGTGGGGGATGTGGTACAGCAGGGGTTAAACCCTGAGAGACCTGGCTGAGGGCCTTAGTGGGTGTCAAAATCCTCTTGTCTGTCTGCTGCACAGCATTCCTTGGCAATGCTGATACTCCGTGCCCAGAAATTGAACCTTTTAACTTTTTTCCCTTTTTTTTTATTTTCCGTTTCCCCCTTTCCATTTTCCCTTTCTCCCCTTTACTTTTCTTTTTCTTCCTTTTCCTCCCTTTCACTATTTTTCGTTCCTGCTTATTTTTATTCTCTTTTGCTCTCTCTTTTTTTTTTTTCCTCCCCCCCTGGCTTTTTCCCTTCCTGCACAATTCCATTCCAGAGACCCCCTCCATCCCAAGCTATTTTTACCCAGGTTTTGATACATCCACATCAGCTAAAAATAAGTAGTTTCCATGGCAGCAGCAGTGCTAGGAAACACCGAGAGTCTCTGCAAGAGCAACCAGGGAAACACGGGGAGCACTGGGGCTGAATTTTAGCAGCCACTTCCTTGGTCCCCTTTGCCTTGGCCTCTTTGGGAGCCACTCTGGGGTTCTCTACTCGTGCTGCTTCCCCTTTTTCCTGTCCTGAGAGATGCTGGGTGCTGGGGCTGTGGCCCTGGCATAGGATGCCCAGAGAAACTGTGATTGTCCCATCCCTGGAAGTGTCCAAGGATAGGTTGGACAGGGTTTGCAAAAAGCTGGGACAGCAGAAGATGTCTGTGCCCATGGCAGGGGGTTGGAACGAGATGATTTTTAAGGTGCCTCCCAACCCAAACCAGTCTGGGATTCCGTGATGAGAAATCTGCTGGATGGACCCGCTAAGCATCCCCGTGGCTGCTTAAAGCCCCCCAAAACCCCTCTGAAATTCGGGCAGGGCGGGTGTGGGGCTGAGCTGAGCCCTGCTGGGGCTCTGTGCCCGCTGTGGGACGGGGCAGGGATGAGCCCTGGCGCTGAGTGCCCGCTGTGGGACGGGGCAGGGTCAATCCCTGGCACTGAGTGCCCGCTGTGGGATGGGGCAGGGTCGATCCCTGGCGCTGAGTGCCCGCTGTGGGACGGGGCAGGGACGATCCCTGGTGCTGAGTGCCCGCTGTGGGACAGGGCAGGGACGATCCCTGGTGCTGAGTGCCCGCTGTGGGATGGGGCAGGGACGATCCCTGGTGCTGAGTGCCCGCTGTGGGATGGGGCAGGGTCGATCCCTGGCGCTGAGTGCCTGCTGTGGTTGCAGTGCAGCGGCGGCTGCGGGCAGGGCAGGATGATCCGGCACGTCTACTGCAAAACCAGCGACGGGCGCGTGGTGCCCGAGTCCCAGTGCAGCCTGGACACCAAGCCCCTGGCCATCCACCCCTGCGGGGACAAGAACTGCCCCTCGCACTGGCTGGCACAGGACTGGGAGCGGGTGAGTGCAGCTCCGGTGCTTTGGGGTGTCCCAGAGGGGTCGGGATGGGGTGGCAGCTCTCAGGTGGCTCCTGTGCTTTGGGGTGCCCCAGAGGGCTCAGGATGTAGTGGCAGGGACACTGTCAGGGCAGGGACACTCTCAGGGCAGCTTTCAGGTGGCCCCTGTACTTTGGGGTGTCCTAGAGAAATTGGGATGGGGTGTGCAGCTCTCAGGTGGCTCCAGTGTTTTGGGGTGCCCTAGAGGGGTCAGGGTGGAGTGGCAGCTCTCAGGTGGCTCCAGTGTTTTGGGGTGCCCTAGAGGGGTCAGGGTGGAGTGGCAGCTCTCAGGTGGCTCCTGTGCTTTGGGGTGCCCCAGAGGGCTCAGGATGGGGTGTGCAGCTCTCAGGTGGCCCCTGTGCTTTGGGGTGCCCTAGGGTTGGGATGGGGTGGCAGCTTTCAGGTGGCCCCTGTATTTTGGGGTGCTCTAGGGTTGGGATGGGGTGGCAGCTCTCAGGTGGCCCCTGTGCTCTGGGGTGCCCTAGGGAGTTTGGGATGGGGTGGCAGCTCTCAGGTGGCCCTGCTCGTGACCCCGCAGTGCAACACGACGTGTGGCCGGGGCGTGAAGAAGAGGATCGTGCTCTGCCTGGAGATTGTCAATGGCAAGATCAAGACCCGCAGCCCCTCTGACTGTGACATGGCCAAGAAGCCCGTGGAGGAGAGCACGTGCTTCGAGAGGCCCTGCTTCAAGTGGTACACCACCCCCTGGTCCGAGGTGAGCGGGGAGGGGGCCCAGGGCTGTGCTGCCCCATCCCTTTGCACCTGCAGAACCCCCAGGAACGGGTGAGTCCCTGCAGGACGTGGTCCCTGAGGGAACACCCTGGGTGTTTTTGGTGTTTTTGCTGCCCTGGCAGCTCAGGGCAGGCAGCCTGCCCTGCCATGGTGCACTTGGGCTGTCTGTGCTCAGGGAGAGCAGGATTGAGAGGGGCTGTTTGGGGCCAGCTGTAGCTTTATTTATTTTTTTTTTCCTTTATTTTTTTTCCTGGTGCCTGGGAGTGTGGCTGGGGAGGTGCATGAAGCCCACAGGGTGGCTGCCCTTGGGATACAGAATTTGGGGATGCTCCATCACCCTGCACAGCCTTAAAGGCAGCCAGGGTTCGGTGGCCAAGGGTCCAAGCTGTGGGCTTCCTGCAAGCCCTCCTGGATGCTCCAGGAGCCTCATTTTTACTCTTGCAAACCCTATAATTAGGCAAAGCATCCCTGCTGTAATCCCAGCTCCAAAGGGCAGCAGGCAGTGAGTGCTGGGCCCAGCAGTGGCTCCATGAGCCCCCTGTGTATGCACAGAGACCCCACAACCCCACTCCTGGTGCTCTGGGGGTTCTGTGGCCACCCATGTCCTACAGAGCATCACTTGGACAGGGCCAGCTCGTTTGTGGTCCCTTGTGAAGGGCAGCAGGAGGAGGGAGGATGTCCACATCCACCTACCCCTGGTGCTGGCAGCAAAGACAGAGCGGGGGGACAGCGGTGTGGCACTGAGGTGTGACATTCTCCTCCTGCCCTAACATGTCCAAGTGAGCAGGTTCTGGCTCAGAAGAGTCCCCTGGGGTGGCAGGGTCTTGCCTCACCCCCTCTCTCTGTCCCCCAGTGCACAAAAACCTGCGGGATCGGCGTGAGGATGCGGGATGTGAAGTGCTACCAGGGCAAGGACATCGTGCGGGGCTGTGACCCGCTGGTGAAGCCAGTGGGCAAACAGACCTGTGACCTGCAGCCCTGCCCCACAGAGCCCCCAGGTGAGCCCCACAGCCTTGATTTTCCATGGATCCCTCCAGCAGCACCGCCAGCATCTTATCTTCCCCTGCCCCGTTTGGATAATCATGCCAGGGAAGGTGCCAGGGACAGCTCTCCCTCTGTGCCCGAGTGATGGGGGGCTGTGCACAGGCTGTTTCTGGAGATAAATTAAGAGGAAAACTCAGAAGAATCATTCTCTGACCTGAAGATAAAAGGGGCCTTTGGAGAGCTGATTTGGGTGCTGCTTCTGTAAGATTCCAGCTAGAGCCAAGAAGTTCTGTCTGTGCCATTATTTTAATGATTTTTGGTCTTCGGGTGGCCTGTGGGTTTGTAACTGTCTCGTTATCTGACTCGTCTGCTGGCTCAGAGTCCCTGTGATCTTTAGCAAACACACAGTCCTAATCCTTTAATAGGATTTGGGAATAAGGACAGTGTGGGAGAAAATGGGTGGCAGATTTGGGGCCAGCTCCTGGCTCATCTCTGGGTGCTCTCAGCTGCCCATTCCCTTGGGATCCATGGAGCTTGGGAGTTGCCTCGTGGCCACCTTGCCCTGGGAGCAACCTGGTTTCATGCATCCTATGGATTAAAACAAAAAAAAGTATAAATCCTATGGATTTGAAGCAAAATATTGCACTGAAAGGAGTTGGGAGAGTGCTGAAGCAGCCTCTGGCCTCATCCCTTTCTCCAGCATCTCACTTGCCCCTAACTCTGGATGTGACACTGCTGGATTCCCATTCCCGTGCTCAAACAGCCTCTTTGGGACAGAAATTGTGACTCCCTAGCAGGGGAAGCCCTTGACTTGGGGACAGCTCAGTGCCTTGGTGGCTCCAGCACTCCCTGTGCAGCTCTGTTTTATTTGTTTATTGTAAGAAAATTGTTTATTTTCTTTTCCTTTTCCGTGCCATGCATTGAGACATGGTACCCTGGCAGACAGGGTGCCAGCCTGCTCACACCTGCCAGCAGCTACGAGACAGTGGCACTAAAACTGGCACAAATGGAGCCCCAGCAACATTTTAGTTCAGGCTGGGAGCAGCAGGAGGGACATAAATTAAGGGAGCAATCCTAGCCTGACCACCTACTCTCCAAGTGCTTGAACAAAGCTGGCTCCCAGCTCGTGCTATCAGGTTAAACCAAAAACCAGCCACCCCAGCCCCAAATCACTTCAGCACCCGAGGAAAAGCAACTGGATCTGTCAGGGATTTAACCTGCTTCCAAAGAAAACAAACCTGTGCCAAAATTTAAGTATTTAAAAAATTAAGTATAAAAAAATTAAATACTTAATTTAATACTTAAAATTAAAATTTTTTATACTTAATTTTTATATTTTTTATACTTAATTTACTTACTTACTTAATACTTAAAATAAAAATTTTAAGTATTAAGTAAGTAAGTAAATTAAGTATAAAAATTAAAAAAATTAAGTATATACAAAAAATTAAGACTTTTCAGGCACTTAATGTCCTGCTAAATAAAATGTGAGTGTTTTCTCTCCTTGCAGACGACAGCTGCCAGGACCAGGCAGGAACCAACTGTGCTTTGGCCATCAAGGTGAACCTGTGCAGCCACTGGTACTACAGCAAAGCCTGCTGCCGCTCCTGCCGTGCCCCCCACTCCTAGGGCAGGGCTGCCCGAGCCAGGGCTCCAGCTCCCACCTGCCCACACACCCCTGACACTGCTGCCAAGGATGCTTTTAGCCTGGTTTTTGTGTCCCCACCGAAGCAGAACTCCTCTCCTGCTCGAGGGATGGACGTTGGGAGCCCCCCGGGCTCAGAGCTGTATATAAATCGTGTATATTTGATTCCCCCCGTCCCCCCAAAAGAAAAACTCCAGCTACACCCAAATTCTTGTCCTTTTTCTTCCCTCGGTGCAAGGTTGGGGTTGGCAAGGGGAAGGTGTGAACTCTGGGAAGTGCAAGTTTCCCTTCACAAAATGGGTTTGGTGCCTCTCTCCTGATTTATCCCAAGACCTCTCCTTAGGTGAATTAATGTGGTGGGAAGCTGATCCTCCTTTGGTAAATGAACTCGAGCCCTTTTTTTGTAATATGTAGGTGTATACTTTTTCAGAGAATTTTATCTTATAATCAAATGTTAGTTTCATAGTCCTTACAAACCCCCCCTCCCCGATGCTGACATATTGTATATAATATGGAAACATAACTGCACTTTATATCACAAAAAAGACGTGCTCTTTTTTAATATATTTGTTTACAGACAGTGAACTTTATCCATATAATCATTAATTTGTACTCATATGTATATTTTAATAAAGTTGTCATATTTATGGTGGTATTTTGTTTTATTCTCCAGTTTGTAGTGGAGTGCTGGGAACACTGGAATCGGGGCTGGGGATTTGCTGGTGCCCAGGGGATGCAGAGCAGCTTTAAATCAGAAAAATCACATGTACTTGGCCAGTGATGCAAGGAAAGGTCCCAAAAGTGGGGGGATTTTGGGACTTTTGGGGGCCCTTTGGGGTTCTGTGGCTTTAGAAGCTGCAGCCCTGAAGCTCCTCAGGGGCTTGGGAGCAAAGAGATTTCACATGGTGCCAGTAAGAAAAGGGCCTTTCTGAGCTCCCAAGGGGTTATTGCTCTGTGTTTTTACTGGTGTGACCCCCAAAGGCTCTTTAGCATCCCCCAAACTTCTGTGTGCACCCCAAATGCTGCTGCAACCCTCCCCAAGCAGCAGGGAGCTCCTGAGTGCTTTGCAAAAAAACAAACCCAACAAACAACAAACCTCAAAACCCATGTCAAAGTAATTTATTTCTTTTTTTTTTTTTTCTTTTTAGACGTTTTTCCCTCCCCCAAATCTGAGATTCCCAAAGTCCTGTACAACAGATCACCAGGTGAGGGTTAGTGAAAGCCAACCATTCGCTGAATTTCCAAGCTACAAGGGAAAGAAACAAGGAAAAAAAGGAGGAAAGGAAGACTGGTAGGAGAAATCACGAAAAACGGGAAGAGAAGGGCTCAAGGCATGGGAACAAACCCCAGTGAGAACTGTACATGGGGCATGGCCTGACTGGCTGCATCCCTTTGGGATGTGCTGGGCCACAGGGACCGAGCCCGGAATATTAAACACGTACGAAACCAACCCCAGCCCTCCCCACCCCAACCTGACCCCCCCCACCCCACCAAAGAAAGTCGAAGATACTCATTTGCAAAGTCTGACTTGTACTTCAAAAGGTTTCCTGTGGAATTAAAAGCCCTCGTGGTTGGAAGTAGAATACCCAGCCGGGCTGCAAACAGTGTCCGTGAGCCCAGGGGGCTGCAGCCACGGCTGCTTCTTCCCAGAACATCTTTAAAAAGGAAATTCCCTCTGGAGCACAGCCCTGAGGCCATCTGAGTCTCTGTGCAGCCAGTCCATCCTCACCAGCCATCCCCAGGTGATGCTTTTAACCTGAATAACGCCCAGTCCAGGAGAAACAGGGTGTTCTGCCACATGGAGCGTGCTGAGGTCGGAGGGGAGGGATGGAGAAAGCAGAGCTGGAGGCCCCTCAGTGCTGCAGCTCCTCTCCTAAATCTCTGAGGAACCCCAGGGGCTCCTCTGCAGCACATCTGGGACCAGCTCTGTGCCTGCTGCTCCCCCAGGGCTGTCCCTGCTGGATCCAGTGTGGGACAGAGCTGGTGCCACAGCCAGGCTGCCCGGCCATGGGAAATGGCTCAAAGGAAAATGCAACTCAGAGGTTTTGGCTAAGCCTAAAAGTCTTTTGATGCTGTCCTGGATTGGCAGGGGGAAAGTGTCTTTTCTCTTTTATTTTTGTTTAAAAAGCCTCTCCCGAACAAATAAATGTGTGTAAAAATGTGCATGCAAGGGGTGGGCACACACATGGCGACCCCTGTGCCACGGAGCCCTCAGGCAGGAGTTGTGGGTGGCGTTACTTGGAGCAGGGATGTTGATTCTCCAGAGGGATATTCCTCCATCCCAAGGTGTGCTGTGTGTTATTTCCATCGCTGAGTAATGCAGAGGTTTTACACCCCCAGCCCAGCTCCTTCAGGGGGTCCATGAGGCCACTCTGGGGGGCTCCAGGGACAGGCCCAGCCAGCATCCTAACCCTGAGGGGATTGTGCCTGGCAGCTGGGCATTAATGCCTGGCTGGAGGAGTGGGATGGGATGGGATGGGAATGTGCCCACTCACACCCACAGACACCCCCACGGCTGCAGCAGGGAGCAGCACAGCACAGGCTGCCAGAAGGGTGGGCAGTGACAGCTTTGCTTTGCTCGAGGACATTTTGGGGTGGGTGAGTGCATCCTGGGGCCCCCAGGTCACGCCAGCAGCTGCTGCTGACCTGCAGCACGAGCCCTTCTCAGCCACCCATGAGCCCCATCATTCGCTCATCACCCCCCGGCCCAATGGTGAGGAGGAGCAGCTCCTCTGTAGAAAAGGATGCTCAGTATCAAAATCCTCTTTATAAAAGAAAAAAAGCAAGCAACACAGCACTGGGAAACCTGTACCCCCTCACTCCTCACTTGGGGTTGCTCTGCTCCCCCTTTCCCCACCAGCTCATCGAAATACATTCACTTCATGTAATTTTTTTGTCGTTTTTTCCCTTTTCAAACCCCCAGCACCAACCCCAACCCGCCCCCAACCCCGTGGAGGTGGCTGGGGGCCAGCAGGGCGGGAGGCAGCTCAGACATCGGTGCTGATGCTGCGGCTGCGGGAGAACGCCTCCCGCATGGCCGAGAGGCGGTTGGGGTTGAGCGCCTGCAGGTTGGACACCGGCAGGGCCAGATCCTCCTGGCTCACCGTCTTGTAGCTCACCCGGTCCCCCCCGTTGTGCAGATCCTCGGGGGGCTCCTGCAGGAAGAAGGTGGGGGGCTCCTGCAAGAAGGAGGTGGGGGGCTCCTGGAGGAAGGATGTTGGGGGATCTTGGAGGAAGGATGTTGGGGGATCTTGGAGGAAGGAGGTTGGGGTATCTTGGAGGAAGGAGGTTGGGGGCTCTTGGAGGAAGGATGTAGGGGGCTCTTGAAGGAAGGAGGTTGGGGGCTCGTAGGGAGCACAGCTGTGGCAGCTGGACCGGCTCTGGGATGGTTTTTTGGCGAAGGGGGATGAGGAGTACAGGGAGGGGCCGTTGGTCAGCACTACGTTGCGGTTGCAGTGCAGCGGAGGGATGTGCGAGTGCACGGCGAAGTCGGGCTCCTCCTCGTCCTCCTCGGATTCATCCTTCTTGCAGCAGTAGTACTGAAACGGGAGGGGCTCAGCTGGCACCCCCAAAGCTCCCACCCCCAAAATGTCCCTCCCCACTGCAGCATCTCCCAGCCTTACCTGGAGCCTACAGTAGCAGAGGACGGCGATGATACAGAGTAAAATGACAGTCGCTAATATTCCACCTGTGATGACCACGGTCCCGGCTGTCATCCGCCCTCTTCTCCATTAACAGCCTGCAAAATCCAGTGCACAGGGTGAGGGGATAGCCTGCAGAGCCCCAAACTCTCTGCTTACCCCCCTTTGAAGTGGGCTAAAAACCAGGAGGGCTCTGAAGGGCAGAATCAGAATCCACTGGACACCTGTGGAAAGGAGTCCCCAAAAATTCCATCCTGCAGGTTAAAAGGGTTAAAAAAACTTCATGCAGTGGGTGAGAGATTGAGTGAGAAGCAGCTCTGGGGTCAAACCTGTCTGTTCTGCCCTCAGGAAGGAGAGCCAAGAAGTAACACCAGGCACCAAGGGCACTCGCCCAGCTCCTACCTGGTGGCAGAAAGCTTCAGTGATGGGAGAAGGAGCCTTGCATTAAGGATTTCTGATCTGCACTCATTTTTCTCTGAGCCTATAATCCATTTTCCCCATGAAAACAATGTCGTATTTTAATTTTGAATAACCTCAGCTGCTAAGTGAGCCTGTAACGACTGCAGGGAGCGGAGTGCTGCCCTCCCTGACAGCAGGACCTGTCTGAGGCACCAGGATCCTCCACTTCACCACAGCCAAGCCACAGTTTGGGGGGGCTCTGGGGGCACCTTAGGATGATGTTTGACAGCCTCAGGTGAGCTGTCAGTGGATATCACAGAGATACTGTGGCTCAGTTTGTGTTTTGGGGTACCACCAGCACCCTTCTCTCCCTGGAATACCCCTTGGGAGCTGGTACAATGAGCAGCAGAAGTTCCTGTCCCTGTCCCTGTCCCTGTCCCTGTCCCTGGCCCTGGCCCTGGCCCTGGCCCTGGCCCTGGCCGTGTATCATGCACAGCACGAGCCCTGCAAGACCAGCACAGGATTTGCTCTCAGCATCCCTCCCTTGAATGCTCACAAGAGGCCACGAATTCCTCTCCCACCCAGGATCAGACACAGATTTTTGCCCCAGGAAGGATGTGGGGACACAGGGTGCCAGCCTGCTCACACCTGCCAGCAGCTACGAGACAGTGGCATTAAAACTGGCACAAATAGAGCCCCAGCAATATTTTAGCTCAGGCTGGGAGCAGCAGGAGGGACATAAATTAAGGGAGCAATCCTAGCCTGACCACCTACTCTCCAAGTGCTTTAACAAAGCTGGCTCCCAGCTCGTGCTATCAGGTTAAACCAAAAACCAGCCACCCCAGCCCCAAATCACTTCAGCACCCGAGGAAAAGCAACTGGATCTGTCAGGGATTTAACCTGCTTCCAAAGAAAACAAACCTGTGCTGTATTTTCAGGCACTTAACGTCCTGCTAAAGTTGGGTGAGTGCTGAATGGATAAAGCAGCATCACATTTTATGTTGCTGCTGAGCAGCTCGGGAGGAGGGAAGGGAATTTATCCTGATGGCTCCACGGCTTCTTACACACTTCTCACACCCCACGGCCTCGGGGCCAGAGCAGGGCCAAATCCTGCCCTCATTCTTCAGGGAGAACGCTTTGAGGAGGCTCAGGGGCAGCAGCACAGCCACGGGAAGGGTTTGCAAACAACGCATTTGTGATTTAGAGATTTTGGCTGCCGTTTAAAGAGGGATGGAGGTGCCTAGCTGGGCCAGGTGCCAGCTGGAAATGCCCATCCCTGGGTCCTCTGCTGCTCCCACTTGCAATCCCCACTGTGCCCCGGAGCCAAGGGCAGGGGGTGAAGGGCTGGGGCAGGAGCTTGGCTCTGGGGTGGCCACTCAACCCTGCAGTTCTCGGGGGCTGGGGCAGGAGCTTGGCCCTGGTGTGGCCACTCAACCTTGCGGCTCTTGGGGACTGGGGCAGGAGTTTGGCTCTGGGGTGGCCACTCAACCCTGCAGCTCTCGGGGGTGGCACAGGAGTTTGGCCCTGGGAGGGCCACTCAACCCTGCAGCTCTCAGGGGCTGGGGCAGGAGTTTGGCTCTGGGGTGGCCACTCAACCCTGCAGCTCTCAGGGGCT